CATATTGTGCTACTAAAGCTTTGCAGGTAACTTTTTTTTAAAAAGTTTGTAAGTTTTTTTAAGTATATCGAATCAATCAATGATAAAATATTCCATGAATAAATTCAAACTTAATTGATTTAATTTTTTATTGTCATTAATTTTTTTTTAATTAAATTTTAGTACAATCATTGTTATGTTTGTGAATTAAAAACGTGATTAAATGATGAATTTAAGTAGATTTTAAATATTTTCCGATCAATTTTAAAAAGTTATTTGCAATCAGTTTTTTTATATTTTCATTATTTGTAAAAAATACAATTAAAATAATATATTTCATTTTTGACTTACAATAAAATTTTTTGAGAACTGCATGAAATGACGAAGCAGAATTGTGCACATTTGCAGATTTCATTAGCACGGTTTATCATTCTAGGGTCATTGTTTTGGTAAAAGTGTCAAAGCAGAAACGCTGAAACGAACGTGTCCATGCAGTTGTGATGCAATACATTTTGATAGAATCCAAACATGTTGTAAAACTGTTGGTCAACGAGGAATGGCTTTTTGCTTGCCCTTATGTAAATACAATACAACTGTTGACGAAGCAAGTGAAATTTGTTTTTTTTTAAAATTTTTACTTATTTCTTATTTTTTGAAAAATTCTATAGATCTAACTTTTATTATAATATAATATTTATTTAATCATGATCTGTAAATACCTATCATAATTTTATTACATGCAAATTAAAATTTATCAAATGCAAAATAAGAATAATTATAATTAATATTTGTAATTTTATTGTAATAATGATCAGATAAAAAGTAATACAATGCAAAGTTCACCATTAATAAGGAAGTAATTAAAACTCTGATGAACATTAACGATAAGTCTTTGAGTTTTTTCTCTTTAAAATGTATTAGTAATTAAAATAATTAAAATGAAAATAATAATGTGCAATTAACTAATTAATTAATTACGTAGACAAATTTTTAATTTAGCCCAGGTTTAAGCTATAATTATGTAAATAAATTTCTAGCTCAGCACAGGTTTAGGCTACAAATGCGTTTCTCAACTTACAACTTGGGCTTATTGTGCTGCTGATGTTAGCGATAATACAGCATGCTGCAAATCAAGAGGTTAGTCATTCTTCATTATCAAGTTTTTTACTCATTAAACACTAAGCAAAAGATAGCACATAATTTAGATAAAGCAGTACTATCAAATTCCTTTTTTCACCATTTGAAACGTCCACAATTTGCTTCCTTTCGTGCAAAGTTTTATTTACAAAATATGAATTTGATGTTATGAATTGAATACGTTTAAGAAGAAAAATTAATGGCTTGTTACCTAATTCAAAAATTCAAAGACGTTTCATTCTTTGAAGATTCTAATTAAAATGAAATACGACGACAAGTCCTATAAGATAGTGCTAACGTTAGAGTAAAACTTAAACTTTTAAAGGTGTTGCAATGGAGTGTTTGAGCTTTTGTAAAGGTGACGTGCCAACTTGTGATTTGCAAAATATCTTTTCATACCAGCCTTGCCTGAGACATATCGAGACGATTACTTATTGCCACGTTAGCTTATATACGAATTTCTCATTATTTTATTGCTTAAACATTTACTCATCCATGTGATTACTTAGCATCAAAACAAGAATATATTCCTTTTAATATTTAATATTTTGAAGTAACAGCCTCTTTGAAAGTGATTTCTGACACATTCTTTCAATTAAAAAATTATTGTTCTGTATTAAATTAATCCATTTAAAGTGTAATTATTCGCTTAAACTTTATAATCAGTTTTTCTACATTTCAGAAGGAGAGTTTAGTGCCAGAACCCCGATGGAATCCCGAATGGACTGCTCGCTGCGAGTGGGATGAAAGCGACTAATATGTTAGAGAGAAAAATATGAAAATTTCAAGCACAATTCTACTAAATATCACCAGCATTATTAGCTTTGCACCATAAACAATTTTCAAGGTATCTAATAAGCACCTCAAGTTTATAATAATAAACGATATTTTGCTCCTGGTAATGCTCAATAAACTACAAGCTAAAACTGCTAGTCAGTCCATATACTAAGTATATATGAATAACATTCCATAAATTTTTCTCGCTCAAAGACTTATGCTTTTATTTGGCCTGAAAACTTTGTAAGTATGGAAGAAGCGATGATTAACTCATACAACCTAGCTCACCTTCAATATTTGTGATATGAAGAAAATCCTAGTATACTATTACCGATTTCAGTTTACATCATACTAAAGCATTACATAGATCTGATGAACCAAACGTTTCGAATTATGCATGTGACAGGACACTATCATAAAGACTCGAGGTTCCTGCAATTTTTTACCAAATTTCATCAAATTCGAATCTTGAAGTATTATGAAAGAAAAAATGATCATGCTTGCGAACTAATGCACTAGACAAGTAAATTTGCTATTTAAATATTTTATGAGATGACAACTTTTTCTGCATGACACTTAAAATCGGTCAATATTCATAATATAAACTAGAATAATAACACGGATGTTTTCATCTTCGCTGCAGCACAGTTTTGATAAAAATTTCATTGTCACTTATTTGCAGTAGATATTCTTTTTAAATAAAAGATACAAGTAAAAAAAAAGTCAAATTAATACTACAGAATTTCGCAAACTAAATTCCGCTAGTATTACATATTGAAAACACGTTCCAATGAAGTACAATGAAATTTAGTGGCAAAGATCAAAATCTTTGACATTTCTAACGATGAGGACAAGATTTCTCTAATTTCCAATTAAAATTCATTTCACAAAAAACATTTCAAGAACTCTCATTAGCTTTCATCTTCTTCATTGGTATTTCATATTCCTCCGAAATAGCTTTTTTCGATTTCTTACGAACCAAACTACTAACATCGTCAGTGCTAACATCATCAATACAACCAGAAGCTTTATTTTCCATCGTTTTTATTAACGCTGAGTTTATGTCACCCTCTGCATTGAGATCGTGCTAAAATGTGAGCAAAATCAAAAACCATTTTCAACACATAGAAAATGACTGACTCAAACAACAAATGGAAAACTGAAACGTTCTAACAGTTAACGACAAAATTAATTGGAACTATTTGCACAATCCAATGACCAACTTTTATAAAATTTTTGACAACTGAGGTCAGCAAAAAATAAGTGCGAGCTAAAAAATGAAAAATATTAATAATGAGCTATTCAATTCGCAAAATACTAGACTTATTTTGGAAAATAACAAATCCAAGTACACAAACTGGTGTTGCAACTTACGCTGGTCATACTTTTCGCACTTTCTAATGCATCTTCAATTTTGAGTTGAATTTCAAGCAATAAAGACTTCAGTTCTTCAATTTCCAATTTAACCTTTTCTTTATCATCATCCGCACCTTCTTCAGCTAACAGTTCCTCGAGTTTTTCTACAATAAACATGTAGCAGTTCAGAGTTAAATACATATTATGAAATATGTATTCATGACATACAGACACTTTCTTCCAGAAGCAGTAAACCTGCACAACAGAAAACGCTCAAGCAAAATAAAACTTACTTTTTCTCGCCACCAAAATTTCTTTAGATTTTTCGAAAACTTTAGCAGCACTTTGGAAATCTTTGGCAAGATTAAAAGTTCGCCCTTTGACAAAATACGCCTGAGCAGTACGACGATCAGTTTTATGAAAAATGCTTTCGCAAAGCATGATACATTCATCAATGTCATCAACTGCCTGCTTATAATTTTCCGCATCCGTAGAACAATCAGTAAGATCCAAAAGAACTTCCACTTTTTTCTCCTTCCAATTGTCGTCTTCTAAATGCCTGAAAACTAAATGAACTAAGATTCCGAATTTCAAGCAAACTATGGCGATCAAATGACTGCTAATTATATTCACCAACTTTTTTGAAAATAACCTATTTTAATTTACAGAGTCGAAAAAATTATTTTACAGATTACAAAACATTTCTCAAAAATGAATGCTACAAATGAATATGGTACTTTTAACTAGATGTAGGGCAATAACAATTATGACTCATTTTTAAGAATTCTTTTATTGAAGCTGAATTTCACAAGAAAAAGTTACTTATCACAAATAGCCCGAGCTACTTCCAGGTTTTCCCATGCGAGTTGCAAATACTCGATACCTTCAACACTATCTTCTCTCTCACTAGAATCATCCGTGATATCTTCTGAAACTAGCTCACTGTCCTCGACAGTATGCACCTCACTTACTTCACTGGATCCATCTTCAGTTTTACCTTCGGACAAGACTTCTTTCACATCAGTGCATTCCTCATTCACTTTGTTCGCATATTTCATATCTAAAAACAACTTGTTTTGATAAAAATTTCGTTACAAAAATAATATGCTTCACTGCAATGAAGCAAAACAACCTGTCACGTTGTCGATGATACTATCGTTCTCTTTTTGAATCTTCCTCGAATTATTTGAGGTAGTTTCAGCATCCAATCCATTCTCAGCAGCATTATTTTTCTCCTTAAAAGGTATAACTAATAAACAATTCTCAATAACGTGAAGCACCAAATAATGATACAGTGACTAAAAATTTTAAACACCTTATTTGTTTAAGACATGAGATTGCTATTTATAACATATTTATATGTAAAATATTTTCAACAATGTAGTTATAAAAAGTAGACTGAAAAATTCAAAGGCTACATATTTTTTTAAATATTCAAAACAGAACTGTACAGAAAAATTGCTCAAGAAATCAAAATTTTAGAATTTTACGGTAAAAAATTACTTCCATATTTTTGTCTGGCAAGTCAGAAAACTGAGTCTCATTACAAGTGATATTATGTTTCACAGCTTCAGCATTTCTTTCTAAAGCATCTCTAATAGTTTTTCTGATTCCATTCTCCTCTTCTTCTAAAATAAGGTAACTTTTAATTAGGATAATTCGAACGAAATTACTCGAATCAAAGTTCAATCTGACTGAAAATGAGAAATGACCCGTAAGTTCTTCGCCTTTCTCACTGTTTTCGTCTTCTTCATTCTTTGTCTTCCGTTTAGCTGCATTATCTACACTTGAAATATCTTTTAAAGCATTCGTAAAAACATCATCTTCTAGTCGAGCTAATTCAAGCAGTGTTTTTCCGTAATAAAAATGAGGATCAAATGTCGGGATAGCAAAATATCCATAAATGTTGACTCTGAAACAAAACTGTAATCACTGACTTAATGTATTCTGACATGAGTAATGAAGTTGAACGACACCAAAATCGTCCTATATTTTTTACAGTTTAATCGCGATTGAAAAGCAGCTACAGTAAAGACTAATTAAGATGTCAAAAATAAAAAATTGCAGTGAATATCTTCGACAGCTTTCTAAAATTTTTTAAGAACTTACGAAAGTTCAGCAGCTTCACTCAACTTCATTTCAGCTTCTTTGAATTTTTCTGAAATATATGCTTGTTTTCCTTCGATTAGCAAGTTTTCTAACTGGGCGATCTCCCTAAAATTTAACACTTTTTTAATAGCCACAACCAGTGAAAATATCAGCAGGTTTAATAAAAGAATTCTAAGGTACACAATATTAAAAGTATAGGCACAATAATACGGAGATTACTTTCTATAATCTTTAAAACTTAATGCTTAATTCTAAACAGAATGTAAATAAAAAATCAAAGCAAACTTTGTTTTATCGCCACTTTCATTTTGATCACTTGCTGCGGTAGAATCCGTTACATTTGTTTCTGATTCCATGCTTGCAAAAACTTTAAACTTAATACCACAATATGACCTAAATCTCAAGTTCAAATTATTCACTTCTTCCCCCCAATTTCTCCAGGATAAATTACATTCGCGCCCCAACTGTAGCGTACAAATACGCGGCCATCGTAATTTTTTGAAGCTTTTCATGGAGAATTATAAGTTCAATATCTCAAGATCACGATGCATGACTTTGGATTTAGTTCAGGCTGAAGTTAATTTTCTTTAACTTTTTAAAAGCCAAGCAAAACTCTTACTGTAGATTTTTCCTAAAATTGCAGTTTCAGGTAAGTATTAGTAGTAGTAAAATTATTCATATTAAGGTTCCAATTACAGTATCTACCGCCAGTTGTGTATTCCGTGTTGTTGATAATTCATAGTTTCGTTCTTTTTTTTATAATTTTAAGATCAGTTTCGAACTAGTTTTGACTTGATTACTTGATTTACTTGACTTGTAAAAATCCATTTTTAGATCAGTAGTACAGCCATGACCAGTACCAATAAATCGCAGCGTACACTTTAATCCAATTCCGGTTTAACGCATTAATTAGTGCAACTTTTAGCACTGATGAACCGCACAAAAGTTTAGCCTGATTGATATTATAACGTTAATCACTCTTTAAAGATTTGGATAATATATTAATTGTTGCATATGCGAACACTTATGAAATTAAGTGTCTCACATAAACATATCTATACCTATTGTCGCGCATCTATGTAAGGAACAAGAGATTTGATATTAAACCGGGTTATTGCCATTCCCAGAGTACTACATGGATTTCAGTGCGATTCCCAATACCATATAGGTTATCAATATGAGGGTTTATTGATTTTAATGGGATACTATTACGACTTTACATCACTAATATGTGATCAGATATTTTTGAAGATTTTTTTTTCAAAGAACTTATCAATTTTTAACGTAATTCTTGCTCAGATATTCATCTTTTAATTCGTAAATGCTTATTGGCAAGCGAAAATTGTAAGCTATTAAATTTTATTTTGGATGAATTTACAAATGGTATAATTTTGCGTGCTTTTCAGCATGTTTAGACATTATGTTTGAGCAGTAATTATAATTGTTACTGTCATCAAAGATGCTTGCTTGCAGATGATTACATATACTCAGTTGAAGTCATGCTATTATGCTGTTATTGCTGGTACATTTGCTTCATTATCAGCTATATTAACAAAAATAACTTTCGATGACACATCACGCTTTGTATGTCTATAATGTACTTCATAATTAATGTAAATTTAGCTAATTCCAAAATCAGTAGATAGAACTACTAAAAATGATTTCATTCAGATATATTTTATTTGTGAAGTAAAGTGAGTGCGAAAGACTTTTTTTCATTGTTAATATTTGTTTTATAATTTGACTGTGTGTACTTAATGAAATTGTCGAGAAACTGTATTGTTGAACTGAAGTTGATTTTAACTTTAAAATTAATTATTACAGTAGCTGGTCATAATTTATTAGCTATTTGTTTTTCTAAATTTGTTTAAGCTTATGAGATTGAAAGTTCAAGCTTTATTTTGAGTGATAACAAAATGAGCTCCTAAATTTCTCAAATTAATTGAAGTTGTTGGTTTCTTTATGCTTATCAGGATGCATTTTGTGCAATATTATCATGTGGTGGGCGCATACAAATGCAATGTGCTTGTCAGAATCTTCACTTAAAGTAAGTTCGTTAAATGCACTTTTATATTTTTTTAAAAATGGTTTTGTAACTTTGTAAAGTTAATTTTTTTGGAGATAAACTTTTTCATGTTTATGCATAAACATGTTAGACATTCAATCTTGTTATATCTGTTTATTCATTGAAAGTTTTCTTTAGTGCTTAAAAAATTATCATGCAATTAGATTTAATGATAAAAAAAATAAATGCCGTATCATTTCTTTTTTCATCATTATCATTAAACTTATCAAGCTTATGCGCTTTTTTTGAAAAATAATTCATTTATGTTTATTAACCTTTTCAGGTAATTCTTATCAACACAAGCGTCAATTTTTGTCTTACTGTAAGTTTCCACTTGTTGCAAATTATAACTTGAAACAAATTTTATGGTACATCGAGTTTCCAGTTTTTGAATTCTCTTCTGTTCGTAAGAGTAAAATCATGGAAAGTTTTGTTGGCTACTTCAGTATCTGTCTTTACAAATATGGTATTTTTTTAACTTTTCGTGCATGATTTTCAGGGCGTTTTAGGTAGATTACTGTTTGGTGAGTTAAAAACCAAACTTTGGTGGTTTGGCATATGCCTTATATTCTGTGGTCTCTGCATTATATTTACCTCTGGTAGCTCCATGTGTGCTCATGCAAAATTGAAATAAATATCAAATAATGTTAAACTCCAAGTGTGCAGAATATTTTTGTTGAATTTTATTTTGATAATGTGTAATTGTGCGTTACTGACGTATGTATATATCTGTTTTCAGTAATATTAAAAGATGTAAAACCAGTCGGACGAAAATTCCTATTGCTTTTAAACTGGTATTTTATTTGATAAAGAGTTTTTTGAATTATACATACAGGGAAAAATAAAGAGGAGTATTCATTTGTTAGAAATGTTTATATTTTTGTGGGAGTTGGCATTTGTGGTTTTGTTTCGATGGGAAAATAATTTGACATTTGCACGACAGCCTTCGATGATTCACTTTTGGATATCATCTCCTGAAATCTAGTATCCGTGCTTAGTAGTTCTCTTCCGAGGAAGACATCTGGAAATATGTAATCATTAATGTACCGTTCTTTCTTATGTTGTACAAGAACTTGGTTTCTGTTTTTTTTTTTGTTTTTGAAAGCAGTTTTGAATTACATCATATTCTTTTTAATTTATTACTGTTAAGGATTAAAAAATGGAAAAATAGTTTACCCGAAGTTCTCAAACTTAATATTAACCACTCACCTGAGGTTCCATCAATTCAAATTTGCCATTGACAAAATTCCCCATTGCACACGATATTACTGATGGCTTCAAATGTTCTACTTAGTTTTATTTTTTGTTTTGAATGAATCTAATAAATTCACTAATGTTTGGTGAGGTGTATTTGAAGGCATAAAGTCATTCAGGTTATGGATGATGCAGTGTTTTATAAGATATTTTACTTTTAGATTGTGAGGACGTAATAATAAGGTTTTTTGAATTTAGACTTCAGATTCTGCACTATAATTTGATTTTATGTTTAGAATGAAAGAGGAACTAGTAATATTTTAATAAAACTGCATACGTCGTTGTCTGCTGGTTTTTCTGTCTGAAAATTCGCCACAATAAAAGGATGAATAAATAAAGTGATAAAGTTTTATCTCTTCCGTAACTTCAAGATTATTAACTTTTACATTGCTTCTCACTCTTTTCATTCAGTAATTGATAATTTGAATGCACTGATATCTGATATATATCTCCTCAAATTTGTGGATAATAAATTATTACATGAGAAGTCACTCTTATTTGCGCCATTGATAATTTTTGAATTAGCTTTTTCTAGAGAGTAATTGTAATGATATCATACATCAGTCATCAGTAGTTATGTTTACTATCAATGTTAAATAATACCACTAATTTGTGGTAACTATAACAAAAATAATTTTTTTCTTCAAAAATGAAATATTTTATTATATACGTACTTGTAATGTTTCTTGCCTTGAGGAAGTTACTGAAGTGCGTTTTTGACTTTTAACTTCTCGAGAATTACTTTTGCCTTCTTTACTGCGTGGTGGTGGCCTAGTACCTGGATTCCAGATTTGTACATATGGTGCTGATGACTAGAATCATAAGAATTTATACAATATTAGCTTCTCGAGAGTTATTTAATAAATCAAACCTGCCCAGTAAGCTTTCTTCTTGTACTGCTATTTGCACTGCTTATTTTGAGGGATTTCTAGTCTTTTTGCTATCTTTTCTAAATATTTTATAAAGGAAAAAGTGTTTAAGTTGAGATTTACGCCATACTTCAACCAATAGTTCTTCTTTCGATGGTTTTGGTGAATTCCGGCCATACGATACCTCACGTGCTGTACATGCTTGCCTAAATTTAACTTTGTCAGTATTTTGAAGGCTCGAACTTTGTAGAAAATGTGAATTTCATATTTAGTTTAGTATCTTATTTTGGCTGTTTGTTTATTTTAGTTTTGGTACCCTACTATCTGTATAAATTTTCTCTTCTGTCCGAATATACATGTTCACAAGACTTTCTTCTAATCATGTCAAAAAATGTCATGTGATTCAAGGTAATGTGCAGCCATCTCATTTATTGAGTACTAACTTGCGTAGTGAGAAAGATGGATTTGATTCACCAGATAGTAAAATAACTCATCACAATGTAGTATTCTGGTAATAACACAATGTAGTATTCTAGTAATAATCTCAGTGCAGTAACTAATATATATAGTATCAGTTTCACACCACACCCGATATTTTCATCTGGAGAAGCGGATAACGTCTGCGGTTTTTCCGTGAAGGTGTACTTGACAACGACCTCAACTTCAGCGTTGGATTCATTCGCTAGCCGCTTCGCGTCTTCATGAAGACGTCTGAAAATCCGCTGCATTTCCCCACTCGGTGCTCCGCTCCCCTATCAGCAATAACAATGACTAAAGGAGTATTTACACTGCTATTTATTTTTTATCAGCAGTATTTGCATAAAGCATCCTTAATCTCTTATCACACTTGACCAAATTTCATTAGAGAGCACCAGTACATCACGAAACATTTCTTTATTTTCCAAATTCCTTCTGCTAATCTATGAATTCAATAATAGAGTTAAAAACTCAGGATAAATTTGAATTTTCTTCAAACGCATCAATTCGTTATGGAATCAAGAAAACTGCAATAGTACGATAATGAAAAGATTTTTTGAATTACAAATTCTTGTCGGAAGGATGCGCATTCAAAAAAGATGAAAAATTTTCATTATGAAAAGAAAACATGTAAAGATTGATATCAGTTTCTCATCACAACATTAAAGCTATTAGAACTTAAAGTGTTATGAGTAAAAAACCAGAATGGCGAGGACAGCTTGTTCAGCGAAGATTAAAGCACTTAAAGAGTATTAATGTAACATTCTTATGAAATGACATGACAAAACCGGGTCAACGACTGTTAATTTTTCTGGGCAAACGTGTTGGCGGCGCGATTCGACCTCCCCAAAGAAGTCGGAAACTGCCTCTTCGCCACTTGATGTTTGGGTTGAGTACTGCACGACACCAAGTAGGAAACGACAACCCTTCACGATAGAGCCAAACAATCAGGAATTGTGAAAATGAAAATGGAAGAGGCCCGTTCTGAAATATGTGAATTATTTTCTCAAAATCACGTTTAATTGCTTAGACGAGTGCGTTTTTATCAACGACTACATCAAGATTTTTTGTAATTGGATCTAGAACCTTATTATGCATTCTTAGCAGTAAAATTAAAGATTTAGAAATAAATGGTAAACTGTAGCCACATTTTACATATTTCATATTTCAGTGAGCAGTTCTCAGCCAACGTTGAACGCTGGAAAATATGATAAGAAACAGGTCAAGGAAAGTCATTTAAAATTAAAAGAAGCATAGTAAAACCAACCTGAACAAGATGAATTAAGGTGTAATCGCAAGAGATCCAGTAAACAAAGTGAAGAATAAAGTAATACAGAGTATAAATAGGTGAACAGGGTAGAAGGATAAGAAGTGCGCAGCATCCCAGTACACCAGATAGGAAACAGTCTTGTAACGGTTCAATTAATATTGTATGAGGCAGCATCGCCACACGTAATTTTATCCATCTAAAAATAATTCGCTACTGCATTCTATGCAAGCTTGATTAGGAACTGGTCAAACACTTTTATCAAATAAAGATGTGACATACATACCAAAAGTCCGTAAAGAACAAATTTTAGAGAACACAGCCTTGAAAAAAGCAAAAACTTTTGACCTGCAAATGCGATCATGGAAAGTGCTGGGATCCGGTTTTGCTGCATTCTGCATAGCTGGAAGACCAGCAATAGTAATTTTCCATCCTCTAAAATTTATTCTGCATTTTAAGCTTGGAAAGAAAATCACGATCTAAAATAATCTATTAACGATCAAATTCTAAGATAACATGCTCTATTTCTACTACAAAATAAGATCCTGTACCTTTTAGCAAATGCAACACCGAAAAAATAATCCTCGGCTAAATAATTACTAAAATTTTGCATGCCACCTGCTTCTTCTAGGGCACATTTTCTCATCAAAGATGACATTCCCGTAGAACAAATAAAACGTAAGCAATTACCAGCCAAATATATACGCGCATGACCCGTGCCAAAATATACCTAAACATACGGAATGATTATTGCTTAGACTACAAGAAATTATTTTCCTATATTAAAGATTACAGAAGAAAAAATTGCCTTCTCAAGATTGGCACCAAAACCAAGTCTATCAGTACAAAAAGGCATCTGTGTGACAAGTGCTACATCATCCCGCATAGCATTTACCATATCCATTAATGCATCCTCACGCACTAAAACAGACAAGTGTTAAGGTAAAGAAAATTTTAAAAATTCTCATGGAATAAACTGCTGAACAATTGATGCACTTGTAGTCAAACTTCACTCTTGAAAAAAAATGACGCTTACTGTAGATTCCGCTGTCGCTAATCAAAATTAAAGGATATTTTGAAGCGCGATAAGCAGGCATCATATTATCTATCTTTGGATTTAATCCAATGTTTTCTCCACCTGCATAGTAATTCAATTGAAAAAATTTTTTAGTGTGACAAAATTATAATTTTCTCAAGTTCGAAAAATAGAACTTCATGAAAGCGAAGTTATTACATAACAGATTAGAAAAATATTGTGGGACCGAATTATTTCAGAAAATTGAATAGTTCAAGAAAACATGAAATTATAAGACACAATTTAAACAAACCACAAAAAAGCCGCGCATCAATATACGGATACTTCACCATGAGAGCTTCAACAACTTTTTGAGCAGGGTCATTATCATCATGTAAACAAAACAACAATTCATACTGCAAAAAAAAGAATGTTCAGTTTATGTCAACTTTTTAAGAAAAGTGTATTTCCTCATTCATTTACTGATCACACACAAAGTTTCTTGAAGCAAAAATTCAGAACAACTTATGTTCTAAAAATTTATTACCATTAATTAGCGATTCATTAGTACTAATGAGACAACAAAAATATGGCATTTTTCAAAATTTATCGACAAATCACTATTCACATGCGAATCTTAAGAAATACTGAAGGAAACTTACGCAGTGATATTTCAATTTAAAGAAACTCTCGAGATTATAAAATAAATTTTCATCACAGCCTACCAGCGGCTTGATGATTGACACTCCATCAGTATCATTTCTCATTACAATCGGCCGGTGCAAGCGGTATTTTCTGCAATCCAGCAGATAAATGATTTACTAAAAAGAAAAAGATACCGAAATGTGCAAAAATTATTCTTTGATGAATTCAACATAAAAAAATATGATTAGTAAAACCTGAAAACTTGGCAACATGAAATTCATTTGTAACAGATAGGGAAAAAACCGAGTACTTACGCATATGAAATTGCGATGATGTGCACTAAATATAACCCACAGAGGAAAATAGCAATACTGAATGCAAAAGGAATAGCACAAGGAGAGATGAAATCGACGAATAAATAAAAGGCTTGCATTTGAAACCATCTGAAATACAATACAACAACGACCCGTTACATAGAAAAATTTAAAACAACAAAATGATTATCTAGTCACAATTTAATAATAACCATACAAAATTGAAATAATCGTTGAAAAAACAAGCAATATCAAACTAGAGAATGTCCTGATTTCTAGTTAAATTTTACAGTGATGTGTAATTATATACAACTAATGTATTACGTATTTTAGATATCAGCAATAACATCAAAAAATTTAAAACCAGTTGGACCAAATTTCCCACAAATGTTATGCTTCTAAGCTCGTATTTGTTATTTGTAAGAGACACATTTTAGCGCAAACTGAAAGTCAACAAGAAATGACTAAGAGTCAATAAGAAAAAGCACAAATTACATGACACCAACGATTGAACCAGGATATGATGGAAGATAATAACTACACTCGTCATAAGTCCCTCTTAAGTAAAACAACAAAGATGGCTGCAAATTTGCATACATCAACGTTTATATTCATATTACACAACACTAAGAGTAAACCTTTGTTTTCCATCGATGTTAGATGAGGTGTTAGTCGACACAAGTCAATATTTGCTGATTTCGACATCATCACGAAGGCATACTACATAAGCAATAACAAGGATGATAATAATCTTTTTATGTGATTTAAAACCAAATAAGGCAATCAATCACTCACGGCAAACAGTGTAGGTAATTTATTCCTCCCTGAAATCATCTTCCGTAAGCCGTAAGGAAAAAAAGCATACTCTACAACAACAGTTTTAGCATTGTTGATAAAACTAAACCAGAAAACACCAAGTAGAGAAAAAATCAATACTTCAAGTATTGACTAAATATTGCAAATAACTAATACTCCTTAAAACATACATTTACAAACATATATCAGCTATGAAGAAACCTATAAGAAATAATTATTGACACCAAATACGGCTACCATTCGTATCAAGTCGTACATCAGATAGCCCTGGAATTCCATACCATAAACGAGAATTTAAAAATAATACTTTCAGGTCCTGAACGACAAACTAATCTTAAAACATAAACTAACTGAAATAACTTCTAGCAATTCCTTCTTATTACAATAAATTTTCAAGTTATACAAACTCAAAATGCTGACATAACCAGAAAAATAAATCTTAAACTCAAAAACACACTGCTCCATTTTTTTGCATGCGAAAGATTATACAAGTTATTTTATTGAAGAGAATTAAAAATTTCTTTCAAGAAATTCTACTAGAAACACAACAATAATACTATTAGTTATATCATATTTAGCAAATACAAAGAAATAAATAAAAACAGAGCAAGTGAATAGTATCGTATATATTACAAAAGTAAACTGGAAAAGAAATTTACTACATCGGAAGATGGAGAGAAATTAAATGAACAACTTGGAGAAAAGTAAAACCTAGTGACTGACTTATGAACGCTGCTTTTTCTTAACGATAACAAGAAAAACAGAACGTTCCACTCATGAATCAAGTAAATCTATTGACTATTTATAACATACAGATGAAAATTCAGTCATGTAACTGCATATGTCTGCACAGAACCATAATGCACCTAAAGAGAAAAAAATTGCAAATATAAATTACTCACTAACACTTTTGATGAATTTTTTATCAAAGTTAGTTTAGTCATATAGTTGCGAACAGAAACTGCACTCGACAAGACTCTACTCTAAATATTTGAGAAGAATCATATATATATGACATAGTGCAAATAAAATTTAATAATCACCGTCGAAATTCACCAGGGAATGTAAGGAGATTTAAATAACAATGCCATCGTAAGTTACTTCACATTCGCCATTTCCCATCATATGTTTGATATGAGCAATCGTTAACTAAAAGAATTTCATGGTATATAAGGCACTGAAAGGTGTCATGAACGGAAAAAAATTACTTTTAAGAAAAAGCTTGAGAAAGTTTTTGTTGTTCCTCATTGAATTTCAATGAAGCACATTATTCAAGGCGATAAATAACCAACACAACAATATATCCCATGAACTACCAAGCTTAAAAGCTAAGTGATTTCCTTCTTCACTATAACAGTGTCCCCAAATTTTCAAGAGGAACCAATTTTTTACTCAACAAATATAGCTACTCGAAGCATGATGTTTAATTAGTCTTCTTTCACTACTGATATTATATCATATCGAGGAAATAAATCAACAGTGAGAACCCTGATGACAAACTTTGTCTGTATAGGAATTTTTCTTCTAATAGAAAAGGTAAGCACACAGAAATCATTATATTAAAGAACAAAAAAGGATTTCACGCAAAAGTACTATGAGAATGCACATATGCTTAACCTAAAACTATAAACAACTAATATATCGTTTACTCCAGCTAGACAGAAAATAATTTTTACTCTGAATAACAAAAAAATCGAAAAATTTCAACTTAAAAAAGAAAAAAAACAAAGTGAGAAATCTAACTTTAATTCGCTATTAGTTCTTAAAAACTAGAATAATCAAATAGGTAATGAAAAAACTACATTGAAGTATGTCGTTATTTGTTCTGCTTCATTCGATGGTTCCAAGTGCATAATTAATTCGCGAATTTTCCCTATCACTTGATTGAGGACATCAACTGTGATCTGATGTGGAAAATGACTACTAAGAAAAACCATTTCACTTAATTATTTCTTAATCATTGTGACTTCAACTATAATTTACTATTCGTTTTTTAAAAACATAAAATGCTAAGGAATGCTCTTCTTCTCCAATAAAAATTCAAAAATTTTGACCATGCTTTGCGCATTTTCAGATAAATTTAAATTCAAGTTTTGAGGATCTCATTTCATGATATTGAAAAAAAAAAATCTTTTTTCATGAAAAAAGAGAAATTAAAAAACGAACAGCACAAGAAAAAAGTTTTTGAGTCTCATAAAAAAACTTATTTTTCTTTTTTTCTAGTTGAGTAATGCGAATAAGCAAACATAAAAAAACCTGATCACATCCAGCTTCATAAAAGTAAAGATAATGGTTGAATACAGTTACATAAAGTTGAGTCTGGACAACTGGATCCATACACTGAGATGACACACGTAAAGCTTTTTTCAAGCAGTTCACGATCTGGAAACAGAAAAATATTGTGACATATACGCTTAATGTAATGTATTTTTTAAACATTTACGAGTATTCCAAACTGCTGTAGGATGAAGAGCACAAAACCTTGAAGAGAATAAACGATTACTATTTACCGTTAGATTCATAAAAAATAATTACTTAAAATTTACAGACCTGCAAAGAGTCTTTCATTGGGAGGTTTTTTTCTGCTGTCTGATAATTCCAGAACAAATGAGCCTTAATAAAATACAAATGCTGAGGAATGCTCTTCTTCGATAAGAATTCAAAAATTTTGACCTTGCCTTGTTTCTACTTCAGATAAATCTAAACCCGAGTTTCGAAGATCTCTACTCATAATATTTAAAATTGCTCTATTTTCAAGAAAAATGAGAAATATGATAACGTACAGCACAAGAAATTGCTAAGCACTGGTCAGCTTTTTTAAAAAGCTTAGCAGAAGCATGCGCGCACTGAGTTCGCAAAGGTTCATGACTTTCCTCCGTAAAGCATTTCACCCGCTCTAGAGTACCTTAAAGCTAAGCTTCTTTCAGTGACAAACTATGTTTAGATGTAAATATTTAATTCCATGCCTTGATTCAAACTGTTTCAACACAGCATAAAAGTATAACTTAAAATTGTTGGAGTGCGTTGTTACACCTATTTCATTAATATAACATTTCATTTAGTCACTAGTTTGAAATTCAAAAAAATGATCTGATCGATGTAAAAAGTACACACCTATGAGTAAAGACATGGCAGCAAACTGTTCTCGACTGTCCGCAATTTCTTCTTCATATATAGAAAAAGCCTGCAAAATTATCATCAACAGTGCAAACTCTATAACACTGATCTGGATAAAAACAGCAACAATGAACAGTCAAATCGAGATTATGAACTATTAAAGCAAAAAAAAAAAAAGAAGAGAAAAACGAACCTTGGAAAAGAATTCATACGTAACAGTAACAGAATTTTCGAATTTAACCTGATCAGCTACTAATACTCCCTAAAAAATCGAATACATGGAGAAACCACTGGGTTCAGCATAAATTACAGTTTGCTGCTATGTCTTTACTCGCTTATATCTACATTTAAGATTAAGTGAAATTCACTCCCATTCACAAAAAGATCTTGAGACTAGATGAAAACAAAACCAGCGCAGCCTACGTCAAAAAACAGATATGTTTTATGTGACGACTGAAATTATACCTGTAAATACAGACGTATCGGCAATTGCGAAAGTTCCGCTGCTGAAACCAATGCATCAATCGTATGCATAGAAAAAACGAAAAGTTTTTGCAGTTTTGAATCACGCTCTTCCTGAAAATCAAAATATGGTAACGAACAACTTCAGCCATAATGTGATAAAAAATAAATTTGCTCTAAAAACATTTGAAAACTGGAATGATGATTCAATCTATAATCATAATCTTTCTTTACAAAACTCCATAATTATTATTAAAATAATAAGAAACAATAAACATCATTGCTATTGGCTGCATAGCGAACAATCAACTGATATAAGGCAAAAGTGATTGCAGGTAATGTGTACTGAATACGATGACGTCCGCCAGCACCGAATCGCTTTCTCACTGCACTAATTATCTGTAAGTCATTTAGAATCAAGGATAATTTCAAAGATGATAGTAACTAAAAGTAATGTTGCAAAGTAAACGAAGGAAAGTTTACAACTCCTATCGATCAGAACTGATTCAGTAAATACTTTCTTGATACATAATTTTAAAAAATTATCTATAACTGATTGGTGAACTTCAGAAATTGTAACTCTTATTTAAAAGAATGACCAAGTCCTTCCTTGCACTTTAAATAAATTTCAAAGACAAACCGTGAACTGCTGGTTTGTGGTGGGGGCACGAATAAGATTTACAAATCGTGCAACAAGTGTTTGCTCATCAATAAAATCATCATTAGTTTCAATGGCATCAGGCTGGTCTTCTTGGTCTACTAGCAATGGTTCAATCAAATCTAACAACTTTTCCACGGCTTCTACTGTGGTTAGCAGAGCATCCTACAGCAAAGCATGATACTAGGGTTCATTATAATAATTTTCAAATTTATTCCTCTGAAATAAGGCCAAAAAAATTTTAGTATTTTTTTATCTCAAATAAACCCACATTTTCTATCATATTCTGCAGAACATATGCTGCTGCGTGAGTTCTACCACGATAATCCATTAGTTCCATGACATCGCGGTAATGTTTTAATTGGATTAGCTTGTCGATATCATTGTACTGATCCACAGGAATTCGTAAAAACTTCATTATCTCACGGCTTACAACTTTATTATATGCAGCTCTAAAATACAGGACATATCAATGCCTATTCTAAAATCATTTTAAAACTTGGTAAAATTTTGATTAGCGTCACAAACACATATTCGAAGAAGATAAAGTACATATTTTTCCAGTTATTCAAAATATGATAAGTTATATTAACAAGCTTTTTCTGGGCTAAAAAAGAATACAAATTACAGTTCGACATAACTTCACCTCGACATCTTCAATTTGGTGCATACGTCTGCTGTGGTAGCAAAGACTATATCTGCATAATCAGTTCTTTCTGGGTAACATTTTAAGGCAAAATTAACGAGAGCAGTCTGAAATCAAGACAAATTTGAATAATCTTTTGTAAAAAAAAGTTAGTCAGAAAAAAAGAATTTGTTTTATCCCATTTGCTTTAATTTCATATGTAAATAACAATGCCAACTGGTACCTGTAATGAAACAATATCTTCTGGCAACATTCCTTCTCTGCTCATTATGACAGATTCCGTTTGTTTTGAAAAAATATCGAACAATGGTAAATCGCTAGGAATTCCACCTTCAGATGTAGCATAAATGGCAAGTCGATCAATTAAAGCTATCAGAACATTCTTTATCTGCAAATTAAACCATGAGCATATTTGATATCACCAATATTAACTGTAAAATTACTACTTCACAAATTAGACCGTTCATACTTTCATAACGAGAACATTTAGACGATTAACCTGTACTGCCTGATCTAGCTCCGAGCACGCATGAAGGAATTCATGCAATGTAGCCAAGTGGTATTCGTCTGGAAAAACTTGGATAACACATTCCATAAGATATTCTTGTGATATAGCATCTTTACATGAAACAGCTTGTTCTAGAATACCTGGCAGAACAATCTGAAAATGTTCCAATGATTGTTTACTTTAACCAAAGGCTATATCTATTTTGAAGCAGACGCGCAATCAACATTTTACATTACCAACAGAAGCTACTGAAAGAACCTTGCAATAAGTATTGCAGTTGAGATTTTCTAGTTGCGAGAGTCGAACAAGATTGGTCCCAACTAAAATTCGCAACTCTCTTCGCTCCCGCTCGCGCTTATCCCTCTCACGACTAGGTCCTTGATGTTGCATACGAACCCATAATTTATTCATTTCCGCAAAATTGACCATTATAAAATCAATAGCGTCCCGTATATCACCATTTTCGGCGCTAAAAATTTTATTTTGTATCCAGATTCATGTAATATGAACAAATTTTTGCAACCATTACATAGATATTTTAAATTAACTTCAACAAAAACAACTTCATATGTTTTGTTTACACTTTCGTCACATGAAAATGAAAATAAAGAGCCTCAAGGTATGAAAAAAAAAATGAATTAATAAATCAAAAACGCACTTACTACTATCTGGTACATCAGGAAGTAGATTCCTGGTGCACTGCAACAGGTAATTACGCAGGAAAAGGCCACGGAGGGGGTGCTGAACACCGCGACACATCTCAACTAAATCTTTTAATATATCTCGAGCACTTGTCTCTCCCAGCTTTATGTATACAACACCAACGGTTACCAACAAATATCTGAAGTATTCCTTTCTCATTAAAACTACAAAGTGCCAAGAAAAACTATCAACCACATTAATCCCCTAGATTTCGCAGTAGAATATATTTATTTAAAAATTGCTTATTTTCAAAACTCCAAGATCTCAAAAGCTGCGGATTTTTACAAATTAATAAAAAATTTTACAGGAAAATCAAACTGAAAATACTGATGTCGATGCGCATACATGCATTCCAGTACATTTTTTCGAAATAAATGGAAAAATTGATTAGTATTTGTTTTATAAAAGACAGCATACTTTTGTGAAAAAACTTACAAACGAGGAATAACACTACTAGCATACTGAACAAGTTCATATAAATCAACGACCTTCCTTCCTTTTTCATAATCTTCAGTAAGATGTGCTTCCAAATGTTGTAGCTCATTAGTAACATCCACATCTGAAAATAATATCATGAAGCTTGTAAAGAATGAAATTTTGTTTTCTTCAGAGCTCCCCACATACAAACTTTGGTTTCCTGCATAAAAAGACATAATTTAGGTCACAATAGTTTTGCTAATCCATTACCCCTTGAGTAACACTAATGTCCTAAGAATTATAAATGAATCTATGCAATAAATCACAATATGATGCATGGTAAACAACAAGCAGACAAAGTTATCAAATTCAACTTCACACTACCATGATAAGAGACAGATGACTTCCAAATAAATTGACTTACAGAGCCTATAGTAATACTTCGGCGTGAGTGCACCCGTACGCAACTCAGCAAGCATTTGTGATGCATGTTTTAAAGCATCCATTAAAACGCCTTTATCTAGACAGCGTTTCATCTCAAACGATAATGACTGAACTATACGACTCGCTCCTTCAAGTAATGTCTCCTGTTCCGATTTAATCGTAACTACAGTATCATCCTTCGCCATTATATTCCTGATAAATATTACTGAATGCTTAAAACATTAATCACGTAGTTCTTTTCCTTCGCTACAGTACTCTTTAAATACTGGAAAATTCCACGCTCCTACGTCAAAAACAAATACTTACTGGTGTCATTAATGCAAAACACTACACAGCGGAATAAAAACTGAAAAGCTTTTTCGTACAGTACTAAGGACTAAGTCTAGAAATATTTTCCAATAAACATATAAAAGCCGAAATCGGATGTTAATTTGCAATCACAACCTCCTGAATGCCTTTTTATTGGAAAATACAAATTCCAATCTAGTTTCAGTAAAATCTGCGACTGAAGGTCTTCCAGCCAATATGAACTACAATAAATTTAGTGAATTTCTTGATATGAGCGACATGGAAAAGCACAACACAAAGCACGACTTTGATAAAACATGAATATAAGTAACAATGGATAATTTGCTGCAAAATAATAATAAAAACTGCAACACATTAACATATATATCAACCTTCATATCCAAACCCGCAGAAATTAAGAATATGAAATGAAAATCAAATCAGTGCCATGAAAAGATGCAATATATTTACATTAGGAAACAAAAGATGCCGTAATGTTTCTACGTGTAAACGCAACTTATTTCGAGAAATGATCGAAATTCTACGTAATCAGTAAATTTTCAGTCTTGTTTCTTTTGTAGCTTGGCATTTCGATTATTTGGAAATATGTGCCACATCCTTATTACATATCTCACAGCTATGTAAATCACAAGCATAAATGCAGACATAGTGCATATTACGAACAATATTATATCTACTAAAAAGTACTGCAAAAGATTCAATTCATCAACTGCGGACCGAGAATGAGAAACCTGCAAATAATTGAGGAGCTAAAATAAAGCAAATGGAAATAAACAAATGTATGTTAATTGTTGAGCATTATATTAATTAAATTACAGTCCTTTTAATCTATCATTTCGTAAAAAAAATCAAAATTGGCATAATCTAAATAGCAAGATGCTCAACTTATGATGAGAAAAAGTGCCTGTAAACGTGATATCATAAATACACACCTTACTATGACGTTCAATGAATTCTACCCAAAATACAGAATGATTTAATTCGGTGTAAGGCACGTTAGTTACCATGTCTTGAAAAATGAGCATATCCGTCTTATATCTGTGAAATACATCAATTTAATCAGAAATGACTAAGCACACAAAACAGGTCACACAAATGATGAAATTTGAAAATGCAAAACTTCATATAATAAAAACGATCATTATCAAATGAAAATGGATAAAAGCAATTCAGTAACCACCAAAATAGTTCAAAAATTTTTTTGCTACATCATAAAAAAGCTAACATTCTTTAAATACCGATCTTGCTGGGTTAACTAATTTTAATTGAAAGAAAACTGACTTTATATCATAAATCTCTTCTACACTCTTTTGAATACTGTCTTTGCTTAAATATTGCTTTTCAAGCATTATTCCAACTTTTCGCGTTACCAAACGAAGAAGATTATCATAGCCAGATGTGGTGAGTGGATAACCAATCACAGGCACTCCATGCCACACACTTTCAATAACGCTATTCAGACCTCCATGACTAATGTGCGCCCTGACTTTTGGATGTCCTTAATTCCACAATAAATTTTAGAGATTGTATGTCTACATTTTATAGCTAGTTAATTTTAAAAATTAAGCCTTAGACAACCTAACAAATCCTGTTGAGGAAGCCATTCTGCAATGAAGACATTTTCCGGCAAATCCCTAATAAAAGGGCCGTTATACTGCCAAATAAAATATATTTCTGACATCGCAGCAAATGCTTGCACGAAGCTTTCCTGAAATTCTTTTTCGTACTATTAAAACTGATGTTTCCATATTTACTTTTTTAATTTAATTAAAACTAAAACTTACTACAACATGTGCTGGCGCAAGATTCCACTGAGCTGTAAACCCAGTGGTGAACAATACAAATCCATGCTTCCAATTCGCCTTATTAACAAAAGTATAAAGATCCTAAAAAATGAAAATAATAATGAATATTATCAATAAAACACCAAATACATTACTATAACATTTTTAAATCAAAATATTCTGCACTTTTCATCCAAAATTTGATAAAAAATATTACAACTCAGTAAAATGGACCAAATAAGACAGGTGAAAAAGTGTAAATCAACCTACAACTAACAAAAAATAAACTTTTGTTTTATCAAATTTGAAACTCTTTAAAAGAAATTGTCGCTAATGAAATGACTCTTTTACAAATCTGAAAAAAACCAAATTAGGATAAACAAATGACGACACATCACTCACTTTTTCGAGTGCTACTGCTTTACGGCAGTGAATACCACCAATAAAAACAACTCGTGGCATATACGGTCGTGCAAAATCAAAGACTTGTGGTGTGTTGATGAAATTAACTGATGCATTCCGTTCAATGTAAAATGAACTTGGCAATTTATTTGGATAATAATCCTGAAAAAAACAAAGAAATTGAAAACCAAAAGGACTTACTGTAATTCAAAATTACTAGCCTAAACAATAGTAAAAATAGAAAACGTATCAGAAAAACAAAAAAAATTAAATGTGGAAAGATAGATACAACACACAATTTATTAGTTTGTTCGCATTGCTTGAGCTATTTTTCCCGACATTAACTTGCCTTGAACAGCTTATCGATTCTTCTTAAAATCAAATGATGATGAATATAGATGGCTCGAAGATACGATGCAAAATTATAAAATCTTTGAAAAAAGGTTAAATCATCGCTGAGTCTGGAACCTTTCTGTTTTTACAAAATGCATCTAACTCAAACCAATCTGGGAAGTACCAAACTAAAACCAAATACTCATCCCCGATTAACTTCTGCGTACAAAAAGAATTAAAATGTTAGGCAGCAAATGTTGTCTCCGAACACTGTCTAAATAAACAAAGCCCACCCTGAAAATAGAAATCAAAAAGTTCGAATAGTAAAAGTTGATTGTGAGAAATAATTAAAAGCTATACCCAGTGCCAAGTACCGGTAAATAACTTGGTGTACTAGGACTTTGAATCGCCCATGCTGATTCCGTACGCAATGATGTCATCGACCAGTAAATGTAGGGGATATTTTTTAAAGCAACAAGAAGCAAACCACAAGGGTTGTACAGATCATCCAATATTACTGTTGTGAAGTTCCTAGCGACTAACGAATCAAACTTTTGTTTGTGTACACTTAAAACCTGTACAACAATGAATAAATTATTTTGATCAAATAATCAAAGTAATACCTTAAGACGTGGTGCTATTCAAGTGCAACTCTCAATGCAAATAGAATCCTAAGAGTAGATGAAAAAAATAGGTATATTTGAAATTCAATCATACGGAGTTCGATAATAAAGTAATAAACCAGCATGAATACGACACCACCATGTTATGAATAAGCATCACTATGAACAGAAATTTACACCTGTTTACACATGTCGATACTCGTCAACCAAGCAGTTGTCTGTTGTGCTTCATCATAAATGCTGGTATTCCAAATATGTGAATATAATGAATGATTGTGATACAAATACAGATCACCAATTTCTGAATTTGACGGTTCTACTTTCGTCCAAATTTCTTCTACTTCTCCAGCAATATGAATTCCTGTCTATACAATAAGACTGAGTTGATGAAATTCTAATCATTTTACTGACTAATATTTATATGAACATTAATGAAATACTTATCTTCAATGAAAAATGTGAGATAAATTGATTGGTTGCATGAAATTAATAATTCATCAAAATGAACAGCAAATGAAAAAGCATAAAAACTTGGAGTAAAAGTGCAACCTAATAATTAACTACTTTGTTTTCTTTTCACAACTGTGGTAATGATTTGTAGAAATGTACAAACAATCTCAAAGCTATATTTAAGCATAAATATGAACTGAATTTCAAATATTTGAGCTTCATATAATTGAATACTAATAGTAATCATATGAATTATTAATTTAAAAAATATTACCAAAATCATAAATGATACCTTAAGAAATCCGTACTCAAACCATGTCACGTCATGTTTACGTCTGATCAGCTCCTCAGCCAAGACACGCATTGTGAATCGATGGACGGGGAATAATGAGCTGGGCATTATTAGTACTTTTGCTGCTTGACTGAGAGTAAAAAATACAAGAGTGATCGCTACGTTTATAATGGCAACCATTCTGATTCTCACTCACGGTAACAATCCTTTTGGGAGTAGCCTGATTTTTTAACATTTATTAAATAGCTTGAATCGTAAATAAATATTAAGTAGTATAATTTGTTAATATTCATTAATAAATCAGACTACTTCCAAAAGTGGAAATCAGCATATGAATAAAAAAAATGGTTCCAAATAGTCTATTTTTTTGAATTTTCAAGCAAATTTTAGTAACCAAAAATTATTTAAAGTGCTTACAAATATAATTTAACCAGAAAATTGATTTTCACCACACTTTTGCTTTTTAATATCAATTCTAAAGTGAATTGTGAATCAATAAACTTTAAGATATAAAGGACAACCAGTTAACGGTACGTTCATAAACAGCACTGGTAGCCAAAAACAATTTCTCCTCTTCAATGATTCAAGCTCAGCTTATTTTCAAACCACTTATCAAACCACTGAAGCATTGTGACATATCACTTTCAGATGAAAAAATACCGTAGTAGAAAGTTTGCACATTTCGCATTCGTTACTGTTTCCTGTTTGCAAGCCAACAGTGCGTTTGGTTCAGTGAGGATAGTCAAGGTGTACTGAATATATCTGCGAAGCACTTAGCGTTCAAACTGTTATTTTAGATTTTTTGAAACTGTCAAAAAAATCAGTCAATAATTCATGATTCATCAGAATATTTTTTGATATTATTATTCCGCTTCTATAATGTGTGTTTTGAATCTTTGTGTTTCCTAAATTTCATGACTTTTAGTTTTTTTGATCTTTGATTTGCTGTTGCTAATTCTTAGTATAAAGTTCAATGATTAAAAAGTTCCGAAAAAAGATATGGAACGGAAATAATCACATTTATGCTAAAAAAAGACTATTCTTTAATTTGATATAAACTTTTGAATTCTTCAGTTATCAGATTCCTTGCTACTAAGTATTATTGTATACATCTTGACATATTTAAAATAAGCAGTCATTAATTGTAAATTTGGAAGCTCAACATTGATCTTCACATATTTTACAACAAAGTTGTATGGAGAATGATAGAAGTATTAACTTTGCCATTTTCTTCATGGTAAATAAATACCATGAAGAAAATGCATAATCAATAGTAAATTATCTTCAAGTGAGGTTATCAGGTCAAGCAAGAACATTACGGCATGAAGCTGCTTAATGCGAAGGAATTTGTCTCAAGAAAAAGCATGCTTCAAAAATAACTTTATGATTTGTGATAGCTAACATAAAATAAACAGTAAATGAAGTCTAAATTCGCAAGGATTAAAATTTTATTAAAAAATATAAAGTATTTTATATTTGTCAACAAAATTGTAATCTTAATAATTTACAAAAGACTGACCTCTGTTCTATTTCTACAATTTTTGTATGTACTACAACTAGAAAAGATATCTTAGAAGGAACTAACGTAGACCTACAGGACTTTGTTACCTTTTAAAGTTCATAAGAATAATATGATCAGCAAGAAGTAAGTTTTTTCTGAAAATGTAATTAATGATAAATTTACATATCCATTAGAGATAGCGCAATTAATAAAGCCTATGTTAAGCTTAAAAAGTTGAAACACATTAATAAAAAAGTAAGCATTTTTGGCATACGAAGACCCATGAACCATGATCCATGATCCAATACTTACAGTTTTTTAATAATCTGTGATTAAAAAAAAAACATATTTGATCAAAAAGACAAGCTTGCTTACTTAATAAAATTTTGCTAAATGTCAGAAAAAAATTAATTTGTTTGTATTTAGATTGTATTCTTATTTGCAATGTCTTGTTTACTCAATTTTTGTTTTGATCGTTTTACTAAGCAAAAATTTTGGAGATTAGATAGATACTGATAATCCGTTATCTATAAAAGATCAGCTATAAGTGCTTGTAGTCAAAATAGCTAAGAGTAATTTTACAAAAAGCTTTTTAATCCACACATTTTCAAATCTGTCAAAAAAAATTATTTAATGTTAATAAACACTAAAGAGCGAAATTCATCTTCACAGAGAATTAAATATCTTTTATTAAGGATTATTGAGAAAAAAAGCAGAAGGCATGGCATTAACAGAACTTTAAATGGATCAGACATAAGAAAAGTTAGTCAAGACGAAAGTATAAGTAAGTATACGGCTGAAAACATTAATGGAATCAATCACTTGAAGATGAAGAAGACTACCACCAATAGTGGCTAATATTTTTGGCTTATTTGATATTATGCATAATTACTGTTTGAGAAAGTTTTAATTAATGACCAGTTTGTAAGCATTTGACAACAATTTTTCTTAATTTTATCTATTTATTTGACTCATTTCTTTAACTACACATTAAGTCATACATTTAAAAATTTATACTTATATTATTTTTTTCTTATTTAATAGCTATTTTGGCTCATTAATTTTTGTTGCAAAAAATAAATACATTTCAGAGCCAAATAAATTTTAAAATAAATATGTATTTTTGATAATTCAAATATGCAATCAAAATTTAACGCAATTAAAACACTTAATAAAGCTTATTAACAAATATTAGTCATTGTTTGCAAATTTTTGGTATTTGAAAGCTACAAGTAATAATGGATTAACAACACAGTATGAATAAATATTTAAAAAATTTTTTTAAATTAATAATTGCTTCATTGATAATTATTCACAGTAAGCGTGTCATCACTTTCATTAGTAGCTAATTTTTATTTTTTTTCGCAACTATTTTTTTTGCGCATTAATAAACAAAATAAATATATTCAAAATGTTAATATTTGTTGTATTTTATATGAAATATGAAATTATTTTTTCATTTCATTTATTTTTTTTCTAGAATGTTATTTCTTTTTTTTCAATACTATTTCGTTTCATTTTTATAGATGAGATATAACGTCGACACTTTGATATCAGACATAATTAGATATTTTGCACAATTAAAATAATATTGTTGTTATTTGTACATCTTAAACTTTGTCTAATTTAGCTTAATTAAATAATTGTATCACGAATGTCGTAAGTGTATTCATTTTTTGTGCAATAGATTATGTTCATGAGTAATAAAAATTAGTATTGTTATTTTATAAAAAACTTACTTTTAAAATGATTTGCAGCTACCTTAATTTCATCATGTGCAATTTTTCGTGATATTAGTATGGATAAATACAAATTTTCATGCCAAAATTTGTAATATTCATTGTTTTTTTTAGAAATAATAACAATAATTTTATTTACAATAGTTTGTATTGTTACGATAGGCAAAATTGAAATTTTTAAATTTGGTTTTCAAAACAAATATTATTTATTAAATATATATGAATGTTATATAATGTCAAAATATGTGAATATGGCTTGACTTTTTTAATACAAGTAAACATATTTTGACTCTCTTATTCTTCTTTCAATAAATATCTTAATAGCCCATGAAAAATATTTCTATTAATAATATTTTAATAGTCTCTAAAAAGACATTTTATCATGCAAAACTAAAAAATTAATGAATCAGATAGCGCGAAATATAATATTAAAAAGCAACATTACATAAATGAATTTGATGGTAGTTTTTACAAATAAATTGTTTTTAAAATTGCAATTTTAAAAGCATGCAATATGTGTATCAACGTAATTTATGAATGTGCTCTTTTTTTTAAAAATAAAATATTTATTTGGTAATAATTAAGATGTAATTTAATTAATTTTTATCATTTTAGATATGTTATACAAAGTATTTCTTCTCACTTTCCTTTCAATCAGTATTAAGAGTGAAGGAACTGAAATATTGCAAAATTTTAACCAAAATATTAACGGTAACATATCAACGAAAACGATGAATGCAAGCAAATATATCATTGACGACATGATTAATTTTAAAAATAGTATCAATAATAGAATAAACTTTTCTCAACATGATAATAAAAGCAATAAGGTACTGATGTAAATAAACTTAAAAATTGCTTTTTGATTTTATAAAATTAAATTAAATGAAAAAAGAAAAATGTACCAGATTATTTATGCATATAACGTTAAACAGTACAGGCAATGGAAGAAGAAGTGAAAAGTCGAATAAAGATACGATTGGGTCACATTGGTCCTACAGAAGTTACTAATAGTAGAGTCAAAATATTAAACGTAATACTAAGAGATATGCGTGAAAAAGGAATAATTGATGAAGAAAGTGACATCGAGTTTGTTTTTCTAGTTAATAGTATCACTAATAGCTTAAAAATTTTACTGATATAAATTAAAAACTAATTTAAATACTATTAAATGTTTAATTCAAAATTATTTGCTTAAATTTTTCTTTATTTCTTTGAAAATTACAAAATAATCCAGAAAATTACAATGAAAAATTTGAAAATTTTTAGAAAATAAATGCTTTTTGTTAGAAAATTTCATTTTTAAATATAATGTGCAAAATTACTGTATGTATTTAATAAAAATGTGCGAAAAATTTTTAATACATATTTAGCAATTATTAATAATTACTGATAATAATGATCATCTTATCAATAGGATAATCTCTCGATCGGGATGTAGCTATTCATTTGAAAGTGCGATTGTAGCTACAGAAATGTATTATAAAGATGGAATTCGTGCATTTATCGGTCCCTACTGTTCAGTAGGCTTGATTCCTTCTGGTCAGTTTGAGATTTTAATTACACTTAACTCAAGTAAGTTTCAAAGTTGAATAAATTTTAAAGAATAAAAATAAAAATTATAAAATTAATAAATTAATTTAAATAATAAAATTAATTAAAATATTCAAGTAAATAATGTGATACAATTAATGTTTAAAATAAAGTATAATATTGCAGAATTAGATGTAGTAGCAAAAATGGCGAGTTTTTGGAATACACCATTAATATCATACACAGCAACAAATGATCTTGTTGATAAAAGAGTGTATCGAACTTTAGCAAGAATCTCCTCAACTAATATCAATTCAATTGCTCAAGCTGTCGCTACACTTTTAATTCATTATCAGTGGTTTAAGGTTTATTTTAGAATGACCACTTCCAACTTTTTACTTAACTGTACAAAATTATTCTTTTATAAAAGTATTTATTGTAATCATTATGCAAATTTTATTACATGCACACTATCACTTATCATTTAGAACTTATCATTGGAGACTGCTACTATATCAGACAAAAAATTTTAAATTATGAGCAAAATAATTACAAAAAATATAATCCTAAAAGATTTACTCTCTGATTTCATTTTTGCTTAGCAATTTCTTACTTTATAACATAAAGGTAAATAAGTTAATAATTTAATTAATTAGATAGCAATAGCGACAAATATAGGAGCCAGTGACCAGGTATTTACATTTGAAAATGTATTCAAAAAACAAAAAATAATTACGCTAAAGAAAATCATCTTCGAAGAAAACTCTACTACGGAAGAAATGCTTACAAGTGGTTTGTTGGATCAACTTCGTTACAAAGCTAGAAGTTTGCATTTTATTACAAATTATTATATGCATAAAATTTCTGCCTTAATGCTTGAAAACTAACCATTAGTCAAGCAAACTTTAATAATATTTTATATCTTATAATTTATGACTTCGATAGTATTATTAATTTTTGCATACTTTTCTTTCTAACTTATTAGCAATGCATTAAATTTTTTTATATACACAAAAATCTTTTTATATTCGCTTCTGAAGCTGTTAACAATTATTGAAACATATTTTGTACCCTCAAATATATATATTTATTTATAAAATCGCTTTCATTTACATCAAATAAATTTTAATTATGCAAGAAAATAAATTTTAATACAACCATAAAATTAACAATGTTTGTTAAAGTAAAATAGTTTGTAAAGTTATTTTGCAAGTAAATTTTTTGCAGTTGTAATTTGCTTATTTGCTCCAATGCTTGAAATGAGTAGAAATTTTATGGCTGCAACGTTTAGTGTTGATATGCATTCGCATGAATTTGTTTATATTTTACCATGGATTCGAGAAGGCAAAAAAAATACCTTACCTTGGCTTGGTGATGCTGGTGAAATTATGCAAAAAGTTAAAGAACACTATGAAAATGCTATTTTGGTATAAAAATTATATATTCATATTTTTTAAATTAGAAAAAAATTTATTCAATTTATTTTTTAGAAAAAAAATTTGATATAACAAAGTGTGTTTTTTACATACAATAATAATATATGACTGCTAGAAGTATTTTTAACTTAAAGTAATCTAATTCAAAGAAATTGTAATATTTGAATTTTGAGATATTTCAAAATTTTCTTATCTTAATAATAAAACAAAAATAAAAAAGTGATAATATAATCAAATTATACTATATTATTTGTTTTCTAAATTTCACTCTCACTTTTTTTTTAATTGAAATAATTAATATTTTAAATACTAAGTAAAACTATTTTAAATTATTCTTTATAGGTTTGAGAAATGACGCGCTAATAACTATAAATATGAATCAATTTTGTCAAAGTATTAAAAAAAATTTATTTATTCTTTTTCCAATTAATTTAAATTACCTTGAATATTTAAATTCAAAATTTAGAAAGTAAAGCAGTAAAAATATTTATTTTTAAATTGATGATGCTATTGGTTTCGATGATATTTATCGAACTCAGTTGTTGGCTAAATTTCAATCAGATAGCTTGTCACCTACTTATGATATGGTAAAGGGATTTAGACTTTTATTGCCTATATCAAATTTTAATGTATGGTAAACATTGAAAATTATTTCTAATAAAGTAAGACATTTTTTTGTGCATTTTACCAGAGTAAAATTATGAAAAAATTACTACATACATCAAAATAATATCAAAAATTTGAAGCTTATTAATTAATTAATTAATTTGTAATAATGCAAAACTTAGGAAATGGCTTACTCGTATTTACATGTACATGATGCCATAATTTTATATTCAAACGCTGTAAAAGCAGTTTTAAATGAAACAAAAAATCTTTCAACAATCAACAATGGACAACTTATTTGGAATAAAATGAGACATCTTCAGTTCAATGGTTATAATTTAATAATTGATATTTTACTTGATCTATTTAATTAAGACATTATTTTTTATTATATCAAAAAAGTACTAATTAAAATTAAAGTGCAGGTGCGACAGGTCCTGTCATAATGGATGATTTAGCAGATCGTGTATTTAATTTAGTTGCTTTTTACGTGTCACCACGAAGGAATGAAATTCAAAAAATTATCAACATAAGTTCAAAGTTAAGACCAAATTGTAATGGATTGCTCGATGACTTTGGATGCTATGATTTGGTTACTTTTTTGTTTATTATAAAGTTGTTAAAATGCTTTTTGCAGTAAATTTTATTTTTTAACATCAAATCACTGCAAAATATTTTCTAAATTAATTTAAATTAAAACTTAAATGAGAAATAATAAAAAAGTTTATTAAAGTTATTTGGTAAATTGAGTTCATCTTCTATACAAGCTAATATCACTGAATTGCAGATAACTGAAAAGCTAATTTAAATTTGCTAAATGTAAATTCATTTGATGTCTTGTAAAGAATAATTATAATAACAGAAATTAAAAAACAAAAATTATCAGTAAAAAAAATCAAAATTAAAAATGAAGCAAAATAGTAAGTGATCAATTTTTAGATTTCAACAGACTTAATAACAGGATTCTGGCCTAGTGAAGATGGCTCAATGCCACCAGATGAACCAAGTTGCGGTTTTGGTGGTGAGAAATGTTCGCATCTACTCAAAATTATACTAGGCATTTCGCTTCTTACCATTGCTATAGTTGCTGTGGTTTTTCATTTTTCTAAACGTTATTGGTTAGTATTAATTTTTTTAAATAATATCACAAAAAATTTTCTTTCTATATCTAATTGTAATATTTTATAAAATATAATAAATTTACGCTTGTTTAATAAGCATTTTATTTCTATAGTGAATCACGTGCTCTTTATAAAATGCCCTGGCGAGTGTACAAAAATGATCTCAAAATATTAAACGAAGAGGAACTGAAATCAATGATAAGTTTTGTTAATAATTTTAGGAATTAATACTTCTCAACACGTGTAAATGTTATCAGATACTATCAGTTTTACATTTAGCACTTCATATAAGTCTACGTCAGTTTATTATTATCATTATTATCATTATTATTTGCATAAAGATAGCTTGCATATTGATGTTTTACGTTTAATTTTTTTATTATTTTTTAATATAAATGTTCTTTAAAGTATTTTGTTAATTGAAATAATCTTTTTTGCTAATATTTATCATTTTTTACAAAGTTATAACTTATTAATAGCAATTTTGGTAAATAAAAAATAAATAAACTGAAGTTAAAATTATCTATCAGTTTTGAATTACTGATAAAAATGTTAAAATGAGATAAAAATTTAGATGTCAATTAAAAGTACTGCTACAAAATTTAGCGAAGTTAATATTGGACAAAAGAAGCATGCAATTGTTGGCGTTAACAATCACACTATTATTCATACTTATCCACAACGTCGTAATATAAAATTTGGCCGAGAAGACTTACAGCTTTTATCTCAGGTAATTTCAATCTTCATGAATAAATATACTTGGTTCACTTCATTTAAGAAGAAAAAGAATGACCACAGTTAAAAAAAGTAAACTAGAAGATATTTTTATAAAATAAATACAAATTAATATTCATAAATTAAAATAAGTAAAAATTTATGAAGATAAAAATTACTTCAAGTTTATTTGCATAATATTTTACTTTAATTTTTTAAATTCACTATTTTTAAGCATTTTAAAATTCATCCAAATGTATGCTTGTAGATGAAAGCAGTAGTGCATGATAATTTGAATACGTTCGTTGGGATGGTATTCAATGAATGTGAAGATGTATATTTGGTGTGGAAATTTTGTTCAAGAGGAACGATTCAAGTACAGTTTTTGAGATTAAAAAGTTTTCATTTCTATACATTAAAAATTATAAAAAATAGAATTAGCACTTAGGAAGCAACAAAATTGATAGTATTGGATGTAAATTACAGTATCGAATTAAATTATTTGTATTATAGGATATTATTTATGACCCCAGTATAAATTTGCATAACAAATTTCACGCCTCATTTATTCGCGATATCACATTGGTGAGTATTAGCTATTATAATTTGTTTTAAATTTAAAAACTAAAACATTTTGAACTTTTCATCAAATTATAATCAGTATAAAGGCTTACTTTTACAAATCTTTTAAATATAAACTTATGATTAAAATGGAATTTTGCATTGAATAATTTGTAATATAGCTACATTTTTGTGCATATTTAATTTCTACATTTATGTATTTGAATTTGATATAATTATACAACATTTGCATAAAAATAACTTGTCTTACTATTTTTTAGTACTGTATAATTAAATTAAGGGTTTGGAATATTTACATTCATCACCAATTGGTTATCATGGATCGCTATCACCCTGGGCATGTTTAATTGATCGTAACTGGATGATAAAATTGACTGATTTTGGTATTGCAAATCCAATTGAACGCTGGACAAAACAAGGATGGATTTCCGTAAATGCACTTACATCAGACGATGATAAAAGTGGACCAACGCAAAAAACGTGTACATTTTTTAAAATATGTTTCTATTTTACGCATAATATAGCAGAAGCTTATCTTGATTTGAATTAATTAATTATATTTTTTAAGCTATAATTTATAATGCAATGAAATTTAACTAAAATATTTCATTGTTTTAAAATTCCATATGTGTATACCTTTTTCAGCGCAAAATTTCACAAATATTTGATGATAATGAAGCATATAAAATAATAAGTTTTTGTTAAATTTACTTGTTACTGGTATCAATTTTGCCATTTTAAGCAGTACTTTATTGTGCACCAGAATTGTTAAAAAATCGAGAAGTGAATAGACGTGCAGAAAAAGATCAAAGTTGGGTCAAACAATCAAAAGTGATAAGACAAGCTAGTGATATTTATTCATTTGGAATGATTATGTATGAAATTTTGTACCAGTCATTACCCTTTCCAGAAAATACAGATATCAATGGTACGTAAGACTGAGATTTGATATAAAACTAAATTATAATTTATAATGCAATGAAAAAAAGTTTGATTCTGAAATGCTAATTTTTCACAAAAACAAATAAGAACGATACAAATCAAAAAATATATGTCTATGCAAAAGTAGAAAATATTGCATAGAAAACTTTTTGCAACTGATCAATTCCAAAAATAAAAATTCAAAAACTATCTGTTTATAATATGAAAATAATGTGTATAAAATTGTAATTAACAAAACTTGCGATTTGTAGAGTTGATTGATATGATCGCAGATGGAAGTAAAACAGTTCCACCACGTATCATGGATTCTAAAGATATGCATCCTGACTTATATGAACTTCTAGTCGATTGTTGGTCTGAAAATATAGAAATTAGACCAACAATACGACGTATTCGACGAAACACGGAAACATTGCTCAAAGCGTTTGATATTATCCGCATTATTTTGGCCTTTTTATTTTATTTTATTTTATTTTTAACAAATTATAGTGAATGTGAAATAAATCTTTCTGTATATTTCTATTTTAAATTATATTGCATAATATCATTTAACTTGCATAGTAATACGGCAAGTATGAAGAACAGTTATTATTATTTTTTATTAATTTATTAATTATTAGGAAAGGGAGCTTGGTAGATCAAATGATGTCACTAATGGAACAATATGCAACTAATTTAGAAAAACTTGTTGCTGAACGAACAGGAATGCTTGAAGAAGCAAATAATCGCGCAGATAAATTATTGTCACAATTACTTCCATCGTAAATTTTTCATTCTCAAAAATTATTTTTTTCAAAATGCTTTCACAGTTGCACAATTTTCAATAATTGTATTTTAATAACTTAAAGGTATGTTGCAAATGAGCTCAAACTTGGACGATCTGTTCCACCAAAATTATTCGACATGGCAACAGTACTATTTTCTGATATTGTCGGTTTTACAAGCATCTGTTCAGCTTCCACTCCTTTAGAAGTAGTTACAATGTTAAACGGCTTGTATAGAGGATTTGACGAATGTATCAGTCAAAATGGTGCTTACAAGGTATTCATAAACATTGATAACTGTTGATACAAAATTTTAATTTTTATTCATTTGGCGTAATAATTTGAAATTAATTTTTATGATCAGATTTTGTTTTGGCCAAAAATTTTTAGGTTGAAACCATTGGTGATGCTTATATGGTTGTTTCTGGAATTCCCGAAGAAAATGGCATTAAGCATATACATTGTATCGCTGATGTGGCATTAGCTATGAGAAATGTCCATTTTCTTTATTTTTTTGCTAATTGCTGAAATAACTCACTTTGAAATTTAAAGCGCTATAGTTTTATTTATTTTATCTGGACGACTAAACCATTTAAACTTATTAAAAATGACTTTGATGGGTTATACTATATCAATTATTTCCAAACACAAAATAGTATCATTTTCTAGCGATGTTTTACACCTTATTTTATTTCCACAATAATAATAATAATAATCAATAACAATAATAATAATAATAAATAAATTTTTGTAGTATCTACAAGATTATCATGTACCACATCGTACGGACAAGTTACAATGTCGATGGGGTTTTCATACAGGCCCAGTAGCAGCCGGAGTTGTTGGACTTACAGCTCCACGTTACTGTTTGTTTGGTGATACGGTTTGTGTAAATTATTAATAGTTTATTGTAAAAATAATTGAAAAAATAGGATAATATTGGAAAATAATTTATTAGAAGTAAATTAACTAGGTGATTTAATTGATTAATAAACAGCGAAAAGTTTTCAGTTTGCTTTTCAAATTTAAATAAGTAATCCTAATGTTGAGGTTAACGAGGCATCTCGAATGGAAAGTACTGGTCTCCCAGGTAAAATACAAATTAGCACGGAAGCTCGAGAACTACTAGCGGCTAATTTCCCAAATTATATATATAAAGAAAGAGGAAAAGTAGAAATAAAGGTATTTTATATCTTGAAGTTGTCAAGTACAACTCTGACTAAAATAAAATATGCATACTTTTAATAATAATAAAATTTATTTAGCTGAATGATATAGGCAGTTATTTATTTATTTATCTATTAACAATAATTTTTTAAACAATCATCAAATATAATATTTTAAGGGCAAAGGAGTTCTTGTAACTCATTGGCTTGAGAAGAAACTAGAAGAGTCAACAGATACTTCATAAATTGTGATTCTTGTGTTTATGTTATATTTATTCCAATAATTTCCAATTTAATTACAATTTAAGAAAGTTCTGTGCTAAAATTTATTCTTTATACTATTGTAAAACTCGAAATACGAAAAAATTTGAGTCATTCACAGACATTTCAAAAAATTCTTTTCAACAAACATTATTGTTTTAACTGAATTTGATTTGCATTTTTTGACAAGAAGGATTTTCAGGAAAAAAAGTCTTAATTTAAACACAGTTCATGGAGGTAGTTGAGGTGACACAGAAATTAAACGACACAAAACGATGACAAATAAAAATCCAAAAAGAGGAATTAATAACTCATAAAAATCCGTATGATTCAACTCAAATATTGATTGTTTCATAAGGAATAGATGAATGAATTCAAATTTTGTCTATGCAGTTTTTGTTATCTATCTTCTTCAGTAGAACTTAAATTACAACAGTTTGTCTTCTTATCAATTGTCATATCAGATTCAAACCTTTCAAAGTGACATCAAAGAGTATAGAATAATGAAGAATGTAACAATTAAATTGTGTATTGACTGAAGAGAATAAATGAAATATAAAGAGGATAATGTGGTAGCAAGAAAGCATGCTAAACGAGAGAACATTATTTTATGAGATGAAAAGAGCAGAAAAAACTTGAAAACAACATTATATTAGGCTACCAGAGGAAAAAACAAGTAGAAACAGTGGTGCCAGAGACTGAAAGTATTAGCAGAAAATTGTATAGAAAACGCAATCACGCTAAAAAAAAAAGGCGTGAGAGACAACGTCTGAGTTATCGTAAGGTAATACGTAGGAAAATGAAGTGAGGGATTGTAAACAATTCAGGTCGAGAACGTGAGCAATAGTAAATTGGTTACTTCAGTTTGCGCGAGGTAATAGTGTATGTAAAATTTATTCACTTTTAAATTGCTTTATTATTTCTAATTGTTTAATATCTAACGTGTGATTTTATATCAAATTTAATCCAAAACTGTAAGTTTTGCAAAAAACTGCAAAGATTTAATTAAAAAAGTTTTTAAAAATATCTAAGCATTAATTTGCGCAAAAATGATATTGCTTAGAAAGTATCTCATACTTTTTATTAATTTTAATAATCTTATTTTCATGTGAAAGTTGATACTTTTTAGTTTAAACTCTCCTTCATTCTGTTCAAATATAGCTAATATATTTTCTATTCATTTTTTTCAGCTAATATTTGCTAATATTTCTTTGTTGACAGCAATTTCATTTGTGTTCACGTAATATAAATTCTTTGTTAAATTGTTTTTTTCAGAATCACACAATTTTAATACTTATCGTCAACATACAATTATTGCATTACAGTTTTTATGTTACGCGGTGCTCATCTTTCGCTCATAAATCGTATTTATTCATTAGCAGTTACTGCTTGTAGACAAACTACCACTGCGTTACGTAATCCCGAACGATCTCTGTACTTTTTCATTCATTCTATTAATTACTTACTGGACAGAATCATGAAACAAAAAGTTTTATTTTTATTGTAATTTTAAGGTCTGAATTGGATGCTAAAAATTAATGCAAAAGTTAAAAATTAATGAAGTAAACAATTTTAGTAATAATTGCAATTAATAATTAATTGTTGTAATTGTGTTTATTTTTTACATCAACATCTACACCAAAAATGAATCGCTTGTCCAGTGAAAAATCGCCTTACTTACTTCAGCATGCTACTAATCCCGTGAATTGGTCTGTATTTTCGTAATTTTTCAAGAGTATTTCATTTAAAAGTTTCAATCTTTACAAATTTACAGAAAGCAATCATTACATTATTCTTCTTTATTTTATTTTATTCATCCGTCAATATGCAGCATATTTACAGGTATCCATGGGGAGAAGAGGCCTTCATGGAAGCAAAGAGGACTAACCGTCCTATATTTCTGTCTAGTAAAATTTTATTTGATATATAAATTTTATAATCTAAAAATTAATGAGTCAATTAAATAAATATTTTAAGTTAACCACTCATCAAATTCAATTATATGAAGACTTTTCATGATTTAACTTCGTTTTTATCTATTTCCTTTTTTTCATTCACTTCAGTTATTTTATAATAAGGTCCAGAAGTTTCTTCCGAATTCTTTACCTTTATAAATTTTAGTCGGCTATTCTACTTGTCATTGGTGTCACGTAATGGCTCATGAGTCATTTGAAAACAAAGAAGTTGCTGAAATTTTGAATAAAAATTTTGTGAGCATAAAAGTGGATCGTGAAGAGCGCCCCGATGTTGATAAAGTTTATCTCAAGTTCACGCAGGTCTGTTTTTCAGTATTGTTTGACTTCCTATCCGCACTTTATCTCCTTCGTAATTTTAGTTTTATACATTTTTTAACATTTTTATTAATTATAAGTTCATTTTTCAAGATTTTTTGTATATTATAGAATTGGGAGTTGCTTCAAAAATTTTTTTTTGCTTCTATTGTTATATTAGGTCAAATGTAAAAAATTTGAAATGTGGAATAGGATTGCAAAACTTTCTTTATTATTCAGGCAATATCCGGTGAATGTGGTTGGCCATTAAGTTTATTTCTAACCACGGATTTAAAACCATTTATTGCTGGCACGTATTTTCCTCTTCATGATAGGTACAATCGACCGGGTTTTTTAACTCTTCTCCACTTTGTTGCTGGCAGGGTTTGTTCATTTCTTGCTATTGTGTATTAAAAATTAAAGTTTTGAATTTCGATTTTTTGGTTTAATTTATTTGTGTTTCCGATATTAGTAGATTGGTATAAAATGTCATGTTTGTTCCGTTATTGCAATTTACTTCAGTGGCATACTGAAAGTGAAGAAATAGTGCGCAGTGCTGATAAATTGTTAAGCGCTATCAAGAATTCACTGAAACCAAAGAATGGCAAACTTCTACCGCTGAAGGAACTTGTCGAAATTGAAAATATGTGTTATAATCATTTGGTTCGTTCATTTGATGATCAACATAAGGGCTTTACAATTGCTCCCAAATTTCCAACATGTGGTGAATGTTTTGTTCATGCAGAGAAATACGTTTTTGTCTTCAATTTAGTTCAGATATGAACAGAAATTATGTGAAATTATTTTCCTATAAAATTTTGTGTTTGGTTAGACTGACAGTACATTTGATTGGCTCAGATGCTTTGTTAACTTGTTGCTGTAAAATTGAAACTTAGAAATGAGACTTTTATTTTTTTTAGTTGGGTGAATATAATGGTGGAAAACACCATAGTTCACGAAAGCATATCACTTTTTATATTTGCATGTATTAATCATATAATATTTAATTTTTAAAATTGGCATGGAAAAGGAGAACTTCAAAAATAATCGCTCGTGAAATTTTATGTTTTGTAATTAAACTTCAACCTGATTGATGGATTTTAGTCTTTAGCCATTTTTCAATTAGTCATGGCGTTTTTTTAATGATCTAGCACATATTTTTGAAATTTTTAGTTAGACTTTCCTCGAGTAAAAGCCATGAACCAATTGAAGCAGATGCATTTTTTTTTGTATGTAGCACTTAGTTTATGTTTATTCATTTCAGTAAATCTTGAATTTCTGCTTTGCTTTTATTCTGTTTATCCAAACGATGATTCTGGGAAAAATGCGTTGCGCATGGTTGGGGAAACATTAATGGCCATTAATCGGGGAGGAATACATGATCATGTTGGGAAAGTATGTTTATCCTTTCATTTTCTTGAAATTTCTTGAAAAATATTTTACTAATATTTTTGGTAGTGCCGATGTTTTGAGGAGTTTGAGTAGATTTCGAATTGTAATGTAATTTGTAAACTTTTTTAGCTTCAGAAAAGGGTAATAAAAATGTAGAAGTAACGGAGCAGATATTTCAGAAAAAAAAAGTAGTAAAGGTAAGATGCTGAACGTATCTTTATTGCTCATTTATTTTCTTAAGTTTCTTCGAGCATACAGGGATTTCATCGGTATTCGGTAGATGCTGAATGGCATGTTCCCCATTTCGAAAAAATGCTGTATGATCAGGCTCAGATGCTGTTTGCTGCTGCTGTTTATTACATGATAACTGGTAAATTAAAGGACGTTATTGCGGATATTGTAAGCTATGTACATGACAATCTGACGCATAAGGTACTCTATTGATTATTAGTCGAACAACGCGAAAAAATTTAGATAAAAATTTTTACATTCCTATTCAAAGATTCAAAATAAGACAATTTTAGTCCGGTGGTTTGTACAGTGCAGAAGATGCGGATTCACTGCCAGATTTTGATTCTGACAAAAAAAAAGAGGGTGCATATTATGTATGGACGGAGAAAGAGATCGACGAAATACTCAAGAATAAGCCAGTTAACGATTTTCAAGAGTTGACTTATGCAGATGTTTTCAAATTACATTATAATGTTAAACCTGATGGAAATGTTTCTCGATATTCAGTAAGTTCCTATTGAGTAGTAATTTTTTTGAACTTTATTTGATACTTCTTTTGATATTGGTCCTTTGACAAGCACGTTATATTTATGTTTATTATAGCAGCATTTGAGTATAAATTTAACAGATTTGAGAGTCGCTCATATTCGGTCGTTTCATTGACATTTGTTTAGTTTTTTAATGAAAAATGAAAAAATTTTGTAAGAGTTACTTTGTTATCTGCATTACAAATATTTTTTAAAACTTCATTACTAGTTAATTAGGTTGGAGTACTGAGGATCTAGTTGTTTGGATTCAGTTTTATTGAGTCTTTTTAAAGCAGTAGTATGGTATTTATTCTAAATGATACTTTGGTAGGGGTGAGGACAGAATTTACGTGTGATGCAAAGTTCAGATCGTAGCCTAAATTCATTAGGATTGTTTATATAGGATCCACATGGCGAACTCAAACTGAAAAATGTTTTGATTATAACGGAAGCCGAAGATATTTCGGCAAAAAAATGTGCTATCAGTATTGAAAATTTCCGTGACGTGATCATGCAGTCGAAGGCTTTACTTCAGAAGGCACAGAAGCAAAGACCACATCCGCATCTTGATAGTAAGGTAATTCAGTGATCGTTTCTTTGTCAACTTTTAAGATTACTGAATATCTTTGAAACGGTCTTCATACCTCAATTGCTATTATATAAAAGTAAAAAAAAATATGTGAAATTTTAGATTATAACATCTTGGAATGCACTAATGATTAGCGGTTTAGTAAAAGCAGCAGTTGCAATGGAAAATAATGAGTTGCTTAGTCGTGCTGTGAATGTTGTTGAATTTATCAAACGTTCTATGATAGATGGTCGCTTGTTACATGTCGCTTATGTGAAAGATGATGGAGATATAGCTATAAAGTGAGGCTGATGAATTATTAATTGCTTGTTTGGTTGATCTTAAATTTTAATTTCTTTTTCGAACAGAGCAAAGTTTCATATAAATTATACATCGGTTTGTATTTGTGATGTTTCAGTGACACGCCAGTTTATGCCTATGCGGAAGACTACGCATGCTTTATTCAGGCTTTACTAGATCTTTATGAGGCATCGTTTGACGAAAAATTAATCAAACTAGCTTTTGATCTACAAAAAGAAATGGATGATCGATTCTGGGACACGGCTCATAATAGTGGTTATTATCAAACAGCTAAAGATCCGCATATTATTTTTCGTTTTATCAATAGTAAGTATAGAAAAAATATTGATTCTTTCGATAACAGATCGAAAATCGATCACAGTAATGGTTTTATTTATCATAAGTCTTGCAAACTAGAAGTTTAGTGAGCTGTTACAGTAAGTTAACCGAATCATAGAGAAAATAGAAATGAATTTGTTGCTGTAGCTTTGTAAATGCACATAATAATAGAACATTAAACAAAGAAGAAAGAAATTCAGATGAAGATGGAGCAGAACCCTCGATAAATTCAATTGCATCTATGAATTTAATCAGATTGTATGGTATCAGCTATCAAAAATCATTTAGTGATCGAGCAGTTAAAATTTTTGAAAGTGCTGCAAAGGATTTGAAAAATCATCCTTTCCTTCTTCCGAAAATGATCAGTGCGTTTCTGATGCATGAAAAACGAATGAGGCAGGTGTGTATGAGATGATTTTATTACAGTGTCCTTTTTTGTTTTTGAATTTATTGGCTGTTAAAAGTGTTAAATTATTAACATAGGTGATTGTGGTCGGCTCTCGAGATTGCGAAACAACGCAACAAATGCTTTCAATCATTTCAAAACATTTTGACTGCCGAAGAGTTTTGGTATCACTTGATCCTGCGAAAGGTTAGTATGAAGTTTTCAAAGATTAGAAATGAAAATTTTTTTTGAATTCCCAATCTTTGGCGATTCTGGTTTTCTCTTTCCAACTCGCAGCATTGCATTCTCACCTTTTCATATATGTCAGCAGACTGGTGCCACTCTTAGATTATGTATGTTTTTATGGTTTTTGAGGTCCTATGCTCTTTTAAATATGTGTAGTTAGCGCAAGCTTGGCACAATACTGGATCCTTTTTTTTTTTTATTCGTAAAACAAATAGTAATTTAGTGATAATAATAATAGGCTATTCAAAGTCTGTAAATTTTTTTAGATCTGTGGTTACAAAGTGTGAACGACCATTTCAAGCATTTAGCAATGTCAACAGATGGTGTCATGACTTACATATGTGAAGATTTTAAATGTTTACTACCAATCGCAAGTGTTGTTGATCTGAAAAAGAGAATAAATATGAATAACTCATGATTTATATAGTAGAATTAAGTTTTTTATTATATATATTGTTTGCACGCGTGAGAATATTTTTTCAGAATTTGATTTCAGTGATGATTTCACGTTTTCAAGTATTATTGTGAAGCGTTGAGCTTTTTTCCGTTATAACTCGTTTTCGTAAAAGAATATTGCTTAGTACATGTAGAATAAATTTAATATCATGAAATTCATCGCAATTCTAGGACCTCTCAAATTATGCATCAATACTTTTATTATGAAGACTACAAATGCTTGAATGTAATATTTTTTATCAACAGCGTGCTACATAAATATGATGAACAATAGTATCACATAAGCAGACAAGTTTGCGTGAATATTTTAGCGGTGCATTATTAATTTTGTATGAGAGTAATCAGATGCATACTTATGACATTTTGGAGATTTCGGTTTACAAAGAAGGGATTAGCTAGTTTTGACCAACTTGATTTGATCTCTTAGTGTTAGTGAGTTCCTAGGGATATGCAATAACTGGTATGCATAAAGCAGTAGTGCAAGATTTGATTCTATTCCTTATCTGAAATGGAACGCACAAGTAAGTAACTATTTAGACTATGTTATGAATTTCTGATTGGGGACAAGTAAATAGCGAATGATCTATATTTGCAGTCATTAATATTCTACTATTGCAATTATTGCAAGTTTCTTCATCATGCATAATGCACGAATAATTTTTGCGCTATAATATTTGATTTAGAATAAATTACTTGCTTATAAACAATCACAAATTATTAGAGAATTATGTACTTAATGCTCACTTATAGTAAGGAAAGCAGTGAATGATGTGATGATCGGTTACATATGTCGTTTTTAGTACGTGAGTACAAAACTAGTCTAAACTAAGCATGCAATGATTATGTTTAATCAGGAAGCAATATTTGATTAGTAATAATAATAATAGTAATGGTTATGTGGAATTTTTATTAAAGAAAAGTAGACTGATTATTTTATATGATAAATCAGCTATGTCAGTTAAAGAAGTTTTTTTCTGAAATGGTTGAGTCGTCGAGTGATAAAAGTTGAAAGAGTTGAATAGCAAGTAGTAAACTATTTTTTCTAATAGATTTTAGTAGATTTATTTTCAAAAAGTTGGAAATTTGCAGCATTACTGATAGTTATTACTTTAGTTAAATAAAAGCTTTTGTTAATAAGAGAAGAAAGAAGACTAAATGCACAGATAGATAGATAGCATCACTGGTTGTAAGCTAAGATCTTTCAGCATACTTTCATTGCAATGTGTTCGTTTTCTAGCTTTTTCCTTAAAGCTTGTTTTGATTTATGCATAATAATTGTTCACTACATTGAAGCATTAAACAACGGTGAGTTTCGTTATGAAAAGATTTCTTTTTTTATTTTTAACTTTCTATGCTTACTGTGTATTATTAGCTTAGCTATTTGTACTAAACTTAATGTAGCTTTTTGTAGACATTAATGCCAATAATAATTAAGTAATAATATTTGTAACTTCACACTATTTTTGATAAGTTGAAAAATTTTTAATGATTTATTATAATTTTCTCATCTATAATTGCTTTAGTTATGATTAGTAATAAAGTATTGAGTTCCATTCCAAAATAGCATTTTTTTCAAATGCTTTTATCTGCACAGATTTTTTCCATATAATAAATATACATTTATTATATGGAAAAAATTGAACAATTTGGAAAAATAAAAAAAGATATCAAAATTTCAGATTTTCTTTACTTTTTTTGTTCTATTCGTTGCAAAAATTAGTCTTTTAAATCTATTTTAACTAGTGGATGGACTAAGCAATCAGAGAATGTAAAATTGCATCAAAATAAGATTATTATTATTATTATTATTATTATTATCATTATTACTATTGCTCTTTTAATACTGTATACTCTTTTCTCATGCAAAAAATATTTCAATACTTTTCATAAGCGTCATTTTAGAATACATTTATTTTTTTAATGTATTTTCAAGAATTAATCATGATCATATGAATGAAGTTTTTTTTATTAAGGAAAATAAGTTTAAAAAAATGATAGGATTAATTTTCAAGACGGAAATTTTTACTAAAAATTTATTGCAATGTTTTAATTTTGTTTTAACTTTTGGTTCATGGTTTTGTGATATAAATGTGAACAACATGTAAAAAGTGGATTTACTGAAACTCGCAATTAAAGCTAAACAATATTATACAAATGGAGATTGAAACTGATGAGATTGGGTGTCCACGAAGATTATCCGCTAGTGCGTAAGTACTTCATACATTGCTACTTTTTATAAAATATTTTCTTTTTAGATATTATTTTCAAATATTTTTTTCCTAATAAAAAAAATTCTAATTCCTTTTAGAGAAAGAGTTAAATTAACTGAGTTAATAGTATTGCGATAAGGTATTCACTGGAAATAAAATTCTGCTCAAATTAACCATGCTTTTATTTAAGTAATCTTTGTGCTAAATTTACTAGTAACAATTGACCCTAAATTATTATAAAGATATGCAAAACCCAAAATTATTTATGCTAAGCATATGTAGAGTTTAGAGATTTATGGATATTTATTTTTGATAATGTGAAAAATCAATTTCATTTAAATTTGCATGACGAAAAATATTGTAAAGTTTGTTATATTATACCTAAAATTTTTTGGCACAAAAAAATTGAGTTGCTTACTTAGAATTATACTTTACCTTTTTGCTAAATAATAACTACTTACCAATTTGTGTTTTATCACTTTGTTGATTGAAAAATTAACAGCTTCAGAAATATGCAAATTGGAGAAATTATCACTTATATATTGGGAGCCTTCTCTATTGTTTTAATCATTGCCACAATGTTTTATTATCGATACTGCAAGCAAAGTAATCTTTTAAATCTTTCAAAAACAAATGTTGATTTTAATCAATTTTGTTATTAGAATATGGAAATTATTATTTACACTTGTAAATTGCTCATTTGACTTTTTTAAACAAAGTATGCAATTTAAATTATTTTCTATTTAATTAATGTGTTATTGGCAAATTGTACATATGTTAAGATGAAATTTGCATAAATAATGCTGAATTTGCAGATCAGTATTCGCCTAGCAGAACAGTGTTGCTCAATACTCGATGACGACCAAAAGTGTCATAAATGCATAAATCTATTAATTACCAAGCTCAAAACATTTTATATTTGTATATAGCGCAAATCTTTGTTTTCAAAAAATGAAGCTTAATGTTTATTACAAACGTGTTGAAGGAGTAAAGTGACAAAAAAGTTTATCGTTCTGACTGATACTGCATGTTTTACTTGAGAATCAAAATTTTTAATTGTTGATAATTCTGAATTCACCGTATATAGAAGAGTGACAAAATGTGAATGGTTAATCTTTCTGAGAAAGTAACAGACTAAAATAATTGAAACTTCTGACAAAAACGTTCTATATTTGTGTAAATGAAATACTTCATGAAAGATATATTTTAAAATTCCTGTATCAGTTTTCGGTATGTTTAATTTAGATTTTAAAGATTAGCAAATAAATCAGATAGCTTTTCAATATTTTTTGTGCAATTTAGCCAATTTAAATTCTACTGCTAGCTGTATTCAAAATTATTCAAAATTTTGAAATGGCTCAGTCTTAATCATTTATAGTATTTTACTTTCGAGTCTCTCTTAATTAAATTTTTGTTAAGACTTTAAAAGTAAGGCCATCCTACAATTATGTGTAGAAAACTAAAAAATTCTAAAATCGTGGCATCAGTGCATAAAGAAACTAATTAAACAATGAAAAATTGGTCATATTATTGTTAATTCATTTGTTACGTTCTCAGTTTCGTTGAAAAACAAATGAGAATGTTAATCATTGAAAGAAAATGCTGATTAGAGCAATCAAAAGAGGAAATACAAGGAATTTGGCATTTAATTTTATCTCACTTCAATTTCTATAAGTTATCACTGATAAAGTAACAACAAGTACTGATGTCCATTAATATATGTAGTATTTATTTTAATAGTCCTATTTGACAGAGTAGTATTTAGTTATAATATTGCGCATAGATATTCATTTTATTGATGTAACATTTGAAAAAGTGAATGGTCATTGGTTACTAAAGTAAACGTTACTGGAAAATTAATTTATCCACTTCTTAATTGTAATAATCTTTAATTTTTTTAAACATATACAATCAATAAAATGTATATTTTTTGGAATGAATATTTGTGCAGTATTATTACTGAAAATATTACTATGTCATTATATACGTACAGTAAAAAAATTGCGATCATTACAGTAGTATGAATATAAAATCAAGTATTTGAACGGGAAAAAATTTCGCTTTGAAATTAGTAAGCAAAATTTGAATTTTCTTAGAATTAAACATGACAAACCTGGTTCTAATTGTTTGGGTTTTGTGAATTATATGCAAAATTTTTATAGATTGAAATCATTGTATTTAGAAATGAACAAGCTTAGATCTGTGTTACTTGACAGATTTAATAACAGCTGATTATTTCTGTAATTCTTGTATCAAACAATTCTAATCATATCACTTTGTGAAAAGAAGATTATCATAAATTTTGCTTTAATATAAACAAGTTTCAAATGAGCTTTTTGTGAAAACTTACAATTTCTGTACAGCAACGCATTATTCTTTATCATATCGTATTAATAATGAGTCCCTGCAAATCAGGCTTTTATTTTAAAACAAAATTTTAATAATTACTCAGTGGTAGAGTATCAGATTCAATCATGAAGATAAAATGTGCATTACTAACGGAACTCTCAATTTTTTTCCATCATTGTCTTTAATTTAAAGCTAATTAACGCACCAGTTTTTTTAGTTGACTATGTTACAATATTTGTATTTTATATTTATCTATATTTTTAATTATTTTGTCTTATATTTTATTCAAAGGTGAAATTTTGAATCTAGCAATCGTTGTATGAAATTCTGGATACAAATGTCAATCAAAGTGACTTTATCATTATATATTTTGGCAGTAGAATGTAGGCTTATTATGCATACCGAAAAAGATCCTAAAACTGATGAAAAAGTTAAACTTCACTGCCACGAATATACAGATTGTGATTCCTGTTTAAGTCATTCTGATATTACAAAAAATCCTTGCGAGTAAGTTTTTTAAATTTTCAAAAATTTATTTACCATAATAATATATTCTGCTTTGGCTGTAAAAATCTTTTATTCATATATTGCTAATTTCAAATAAATTGCTTAACCTAAGCATATTCTATTGTTTAATATTAAAAAAATCATAAATTGATACTTTTCATAATTAATATTAGTAATATTATTGTAAATAAAAAATTAAAAAAATGCAATTTAAACTAAATTCGTTTTATCAGTTAGTATATATTTTTTAATATTCATATTATCTGTCATTTTAAATTATATTCTTAATCTTTAAAGTATAATTATAGATGGTGTGCATCTGAAAATCGTTGTTTGCCTTATATAAATTTCTGCCCATTACCTTCACGTACTCAATTTACGTTCAACTGCCCGCGTCCTCTAGAAGAGTTGCCTTTTTATAATGAAACGTTTGCAAGATTATATGTGCTTCCAATGATTGCATCGGTTTATGCTGCTAACGACAGTGCTGTTAGCTTTAATTTACTTTAATTTTAATATTTGATTATTTTTATCACAAGCAAAACTTTGATTATCAAAGTTTAATAATATTAATATTGAAGTTTTGCTCAAGACTAATAATAACAATAATAACAATAATAACAATAATAATAATAATAAATTAATAATAATAATAATGATAATTTTAATTATTATTATTATTATTATTATTACTATTATAGTAAAATAATAATAGTAATAATAATAATAATATTAGTGATAATAATAGTAATACTAATAGTAATAATAATATTAAATGGATAAATAAATAAAAAGCATCAAAGATACTTTTGCAAGAAATTATTTGATATTTTGACTTAAAATACTGATCAGCACTGATTTTGCAGCGTGATAAATGCTTATTAAATCATTTCGATAATATATACACAACTGATAGCTATACTATTTCATGTGGAGTGAACAATTTGGTAAGTTCAAGTTCAAAATATAATCAGTAATAAAATAATTGCGATATTTTGTAATTTTTTTTTCGTAGTATTTATTACAGCAACAATAAATAGTTTGTTGAAGTTAAAATATGAATAATTATTTGCAAAATTTGCATTGTAAAATGTTTTTGATATTGTTGTCATTTGAAGACAAAATGTCACAGTTTTATGGCATATTTACCAGATGAAGATGCTATCGCCTTGTTGTTTCAATCCGAAATTGATAGAGAAGTACGTGAAGTGATTACTACTACTACTATTTTTTAGACTTAAATTTCAGATTTAAAAATAATTAAATCTTTTTTGTTTTCATTTAAATGAAAATAAATATTTGAGTAATTTTTTATTGAAGCAAATACATATTTAAAATTAATTAATTAATAATTAATAAATTATATAATTAATCATTTGTTTAGTTTTATATGCAACAACTTAATGCAATGAAAAATCCAAAAATGATTGATTTGCCAGCTATTGGGGGTGCATTATTAATGGAATATCATGATGCTTTTCAACGATTGTGGGCTATGATGAGAGATGACTTGTATGGAGCTTTGAATTACACAAATGGAACATCCGATATTTGGGCAAATCTTCAAATTTATTAGATTATTTAAATCAAATTAAGACAACAAAATTTTTACTTTTATTATTCTTATTTGATTGCTTGCTGAATAAATTCTTAGACTAATAATTTTAGCAATTTCAGTTCAGTGTTCAAAATATCTGTCCAATTTTATTTGACATTTTTAGTTATTGTACTGATCTTTCTGATTTTTTTTTTTTGAAAATTAAAATTACTATTTTTTGATGTTTTTTTTTTCTGAAATAATTCATTCAATTTCGCTCTTAAATATTTTATATTTCATTCTGAAATATTTTGCAGACTTTTGGGCATTCATTTGGTGGTGGTTTAGCATCGATTGCAGCAGTTGTAATTGCAACTGAGGGAAGAGTCAAATCGGAAAAAATAAAATTATATACGTTTGGACAATCACGTATAACAGATGTATCTTGCGCTGAGCGTCATGATAAGCTTGTAAATTTATAAGTTTGGAAATAAATTTAGAAATTATTTTTCAAAAAAAAATTATTCTTAATCTTTTTGAAACAAATTTTAATGAATTGATCAGTGACAAATTTCAGTAGCTATATACAACAGAGCAGTATGGATGAATAAAAATTACTTGAAACAAAATTAAATAAAAAAGACTACACACAAGTAATTATTTTTCCAAGTGAATATTACATATACTTTATTTTATTTTTGATAATAATTAGTATTTTTGGTACGCAATTCATTTCGTATAATTAACATGAACGATATGCTTCCCACGTTTCCTACACGCGTTTTTCCTGGACAATTAAACGGTCCATTTCATCATCGTCATGAGGTAACACTTTATCACATTACTTGAATTGTTAATTTTTACATGACTAAAGTGAGGTGTTAGATACGCAAGTTACGTATAATGATTACGTTTGCCGATGATATAAGTACAAAAATTAGCCATCACAGAAGTAAAATTTAGTTTAATCATATTGAAGCTAACTTTTGATCTGTTTCTACTGTAATATTTATTTATTTAGGTCTGGTATCCGCATGGTATGCATCGTGGCTCTCAGTACATGATATCAACAATGGCGGAAGATGGTCGAGCTAGTAGTTCAGCTATTAGCTTATCCATTTTTGATAATATTATGATGTTTGGTAGAAATTTGTTAGATTGGTCAAAAAATGGCTGCAAATAGAAAGTTAAAAACTCTTTTATTTAGTACAAAATTAATGAAGAATAAATTTTATAACCTTATTTGACATAAATTGAAGCATTTTTATCAACAGTGAAAAGTTCCATTCCTAATGCAAGTTTAAATAGTAATAGTGATAACTGTTCTGATAACAATAGTAATTATGATAAAAGCTATTATCGCTGATAATAGACACTTATTACAGCCTATGTGAAAACATGAAAAAAAAAGAAAAATGCATACATTTCATTTATGTGTAATAAACAATAATTGATATAATTCAAAATGTTTAATCGTGAGTAAAATTCAAATGATTATCAATACTTTAAAGAAGTGATTAATTCAGCAAAAAAAAAAATGACTGGACAAATTACAGCTAGAAATATATATGTGAAATAAATATAATTGCAACAATTGTGAGGACTTTTTTAACAAATATTCTAACTTATTTCTGTGTTTGCTTTCAAAATACTTCATTTTTTATCACAATTTCTCACTTATTTGTGAAAATTTGATTTTTTAGATTAAGTATTCAAATGCTTGATTGGCATTATGCACGGGTTATATGAGCTATGCACACAAATTGTACAAAAAGTTTGTTTAATAATTGAGCAACAAATAATTAATTCTTGATATGGTTAATCTAATTATCGGATTTCTCAAATAGTATAAAAATCGTGGTTTATTGTGTTAATTTGGGCATCATAATTATTCATCTAAAAAATTAACTATGAAACTAAGCTGAAATTTAATTTTTTTACCTTTTCATTTGAATTTTGTATAATCATCTAATACTTCTACAACACTGTTGAAAATTAAAAAAAGAAATACTATTTTTCTTTCAAAAATTGAATTAATTTTTCAGCCAAAATGTTCCCCAAAATAAAAAATTAAAACAATTAATCGGTGTATAATTCGTGAGAGCATAATTTTGTGTTGATATGATTCAGTGATAAAAAATGATAGTCAAAAAAGCTCCAATTTCTTAATTATTGTAAGTAATAGAATTTGAAAAAAAAAATCAAAGTAGGGCTATGTTTGTGGCATAAAAATGTTACATCAAAAATTTTTAATCTATTTTTTTAATCAAATTTTTAAGTGAAATTCGCATAACGATTAGAAATTTTCAATCTATACAGTTTTATGCAATTATAATTGCACATTAAAATTATTAAATGTATAATACTTTCAACTAGAAAAAATTTTGCATTAAAAAGTATGGTAATTGTGAAAAAATTTCAATTCAAGTATTTGGAACAAAACAAACAAAATGCTATTATAATTCAATTATTTTAATTTGCTAATATTCCTTTGGTACTTTTACATCTATATTATCAAAATATTTTTTTAGGAAGGTATTGGGTAGGAGCGCTTATTATCAAACTTATGACTTTTTCTGGCCTGTGCATTTTAATTTTAAGATAAATAACTGCCACCAAGACATTATGAGATATCAACGTATGATTAATTTTTCATTATAACTGAAAAGTAGTGAATGATAAAAGTTTTGTACAAAATTAAGTCATTGCATATTTGAAATATTTTGTATAAAATGATAATCCTAAAAATGCTTAAAAAGGATAAAAAATCCCTCTCACTAAAGAAATTTATCAAATGAATATCGTTGTATTTCTACAGTAGTACTATTAATATCATTATTGGTAGTATTCTTGCAAAGTAAATTTGTTAAATGTAAGTAGCATGCAACAATGTATGCAGTCCATGTATTAAATTGATATCTTCAACACTAACAAGCAATAGCAAAAAACAGTAGTATTGTTTTATTACATTATTATTTATGACAATTTTTTTTTGTACATATATCTTACACCACTTTTCCAGTTTTGAATATCATGACCTAAATGCATATTTAATCAAAAAGAATAGGCAAAAAGAAAATTTTATTTTCCAGTCAACGTACTGATAGAGCAAAATTGGCTCACTGCTGCTGATGAACAGGATAATGATGATGGCAATAAAGATGGCGATAACGATGAAGATGAAGATAGCGTTGGTAAAGTTAAAAATGGAATTAATTGTTCAGATTCAGAATTTTGAGCATCTGGTATAATAATTTCATGGGATGCACCATTACAATGCACGGATTTTGTATCATCTCGTCCTGTTTTTCGCCATTTTGCTCGACGATTTTGAAACCATACCTGAAAATATGGTAATTTTTAGCTGAATGAAAATAATGTATTCCAGTAAGTAAATCAATTACAGCAATAAATACTTAACTGCATGACAAATAAAGAAAAAAAAAACTATAACCTGAACTCGAGCTTCTGGTAGATTTATTTTTGTAGCAAGTTCTTCTCGTGCAAATACATCAGGATAGTGCGATTTACGAAATGCTGCTTCTAATTCATGCAACTAAAAAAAAGCATGCTGTTTTAAAAAACATAAAAATTGTTTATGTACCAAATAAAAGTGCAGATATACTGAATTAAAATATTTCGTGTTATGGTGCATTATAATTAACTAAAAAAATATTTTATTATCTCATTTCTACAAATAAAATTTTTCACTGCTATAATTAGTTTTGTGCTCCACTTGATAATAATTCTGTAGTCTTATTATATTCTTATATAATCAGCTAAAGCTGCTTTCATAAATATAATCTGCCTTTTATTTAAAAAAAATGTAATTAACGGTAATCGAATCATTACAACTTAATTATATATACTTTTCCCGATATGGTATTAATTTCAAGATATTTAGAGAATTTTAACTGATCTTCCAACTTAGGATAACATTTATGATCATTAACTTGAAAGAAAAATAAATATTCATTACGCATGAGTAATAACGTGCTTTTTCTCGGAGTAGATGCATTATTATAATCACTTCTAATGAAGATTTCATGAAAACAGTTAGAAGTTTTGGCAAATAAAGCTTCAGTATAAATATGTTTCATAAATTGTAATCGGCATTAAAAAGATACTTTTTTAATCATTAACAATTAGTAGAAGGTGTAAATAGTATAAAACAAAGTAGAAAAAGCATATATTTTAATGGTGTAAAAAAAATGTTATTTATTTTAATAATTTAGAACTCAGCTAAAGTTCTGAGGAATAGATTACAATATTTATAATAAATATAACACGTCAAAAAATTGCCAAAGCATAGATTTGTACTTTCATTTTATTTTTATCCTGAATTAATTTTTTCAAAGTTTGCAGATGAATAGGATGGATAAAAGAACCAGAAAGGGTTTTTTCAATGAAGAAACGTAAATTTACTTGAAGAATTTTCGGAATATATAACTTAATTTGTTCAGGATAAGGCAAACTGAATTATAAGATACGGTCATGATAAAATTGGTTTATTTCCCACATTTTGCTTGCCTTCATCGCAATGAAATTACATTAAGTTAATATGATTTTGTCATCTTCATCGTCTCCTTGTTGCTACTGTTAACGAGAATAAGATTCCAAAAAAAAGTGCTACTTGCTTCTGTTAGCCGTACTTAATTGTTGAACTTGCATGATTTTGTTCAAAAAATTAGCATCAAAAAGTTATGAAGAAATTTGATAGAAAAATTGAAACTTTGATTGATAAAATAATTCAATAACAGACCAAAATTAACTACACATACCATCAGAATTCAAATTTGCTATTTTAAAATGTTACTAAAACGAGTTTCTATACATATGAAAAAAAAACAGAATCGAAGAAAATAAAGCATTTTATGAATATGATTACGAGCTTAAATCTTATCATTTTGATATTGAATCTCAAAAAAAATTTTATTCATTAAGAACTAAGAAAAAAAGATGAAATCATGAAATCTATCAAGTCGTAATACGATTATTATTACTATTACTTTTTCACTGAGTGAGAAATGAATCATTATGATCAATTCAAATTTTTGCGCAGTACAAGATAAAAAATGATAAGAAGAGTGCACAATTGATGATCAAAGATGAAAATTACCTGATTTTATAACAAAAAAATAGTCTAATAATGAAATCGAAAGCCTAATTAAAGCAGCATACTACTGCAAGCATCTTTTGAATTACTCTAATTATTATGATCTTTATTTATTGAAGAAGTAAAGATGAATAGCTAAAGTCATTACATATTTAAATAGCAGACTTTAATGAATGTAGTAATCATTTAGATAGTACTGCATAATATAATTTATTTTGATTTTTGATTGAAAACCACTTGTGATATACTTAAAAAGGATAAATGAAAGCATTGACATACTTACTTTTAAGTTTATAAAAATTAAAGTACAAAAATATGTTTAAGTCTTACTTGTTGTAAAGTGAATGTGGTCCGGTTTCGACGTTGTTTTCGTTTGTTACCATCACTAATAGAAGTAAGAGAATATGCAGGACAACTCTGCTCACAATTTTTCAAAGCATTCATACAATCAACACCTAAATGATAAGTTTCAAGTGAAAAATGACTTTCAACTACTTATGTCTATGAATATAGCAAAGATTCAAATTGTATGATTGGAAAAGCGTTAGAAATACTTTTTTGTTTGTTAAAATTTATAGAATATTAGGAGTAAAAATGTATTGAAGCCTGGATTATTTTAAATATTAGTACGCAGCTGGTAAAATATTAAAGTAATAAGTATAACTATTGAATGAGTCACAATGATAGCATTGATTATGTGATTAAAATATAACGTAATGTACTTAAAACAATAAGCATAAAAGAAATGTGTATTTTACAGGCATAAAAAAATAATTAAATAAAGTTAAACATTTTTTCTCTTCTTTCATTATTTATTTTGCTGCATTTCTAGAAGTAAAAATGTACTTAAAAAAAGAGTTTCAACTCAACAAGTAAAGAATTTACCTGTTTCATTAGGTAAAGAATTGTATTGTGATGTATGTTGAAGTGATGGTAACATGACTGACCAAGCAGTGGAAGGAGCTGCCATATTGAATGAGTACTTGGGGAACATCATATTTCAATTTGAATCAGTCACACGTGGAACTGACAATTCTTCAGTGCAAAACTTGAAAAAAGTAAAGAAAAAATTACATACAAAAAGACTTAATCACTTTTTTTTCTACTTTTCTCATAACAAAACAATCTAAAAGTTGAAATTCAAATGAGCAAATTTGAAATACGAATTATCAGTCTGAAAAAAAATGTATGAGTTTGACTAATAATTTTATGCATAATCACACATCTTACAATTCATCAATTTATATTAATGCAAATTACAACTACTCTAAAAGTGCTAAATATATAAATTATCCATCAATAATTATTTACATATTATTTTAGCACTGAAAGATTTTTTCTACTTCTTTATTGATGATATTAAGCATATCCGAAACTTATGCTATAGATAGTAACAGTTTTTGAAGATTTTTAAACAAGCACTAAGAAGGAATTGCAGTTGGTCAGGTTAAGCTTGTAAAAGGTTATCTCGATAATTTTCACTCTAACTCCTCCTTATTTTCACTATTCTTTAATCTCTTGCTATAGTGTGAGTTGATTCAGTTATCAAATTCACTTAAGTTCCAATCAAATGACACAAACACATACATGAATATACATATACACATACATATGTACAGATATATATACACACACGCATAACATTCATGAAATGATGACATACACAGACATGCAAATGTTTTATACATATGAATCAAATAAAATAAATTTACATGATGATTCGTATTAAAATTAAATTTGATGCGCTTCTTTACATCATTAATTGAATGGATGTTAAAGAAAGGCATAGTCCTTTACAAATGATCTCAATTGGCAGCCATCGTTTTTTCACTTTGCCAGTTGAACGAAAATATTCAGAGTAATACGAGTTGATGTAATATCATGTCAGTTATTTGTCAGCGCATACTATTTGGTACGTAAATGAGTATACGCTGACAATGTAAATATTACCATCAATAATAACAGTAATAATGATTAATAATAATAATTATTATTATAGCAATATTAATTTCTATCATTTTATGTTTTTATTAAATTTATTACTATTAACTGTATTTTTGTTATAAATACGTGAGTGATCCTGTTGCTAAGTTCACTTGATAATATCTTCTATATAGAATAAACTTACCAACAATGCTACTACCAATTATATTGTTATTATAAAGTATACTGCAAATAAAAATATATCAGACAATTATATTTCCATTTACATTATTGTGCAAAAAACAAAGAAAAAATTATTGTGTGCAAATGAAAAAAGTAAAAAACATCCGATCAGAACCTATAAATTGACGCAAAAAAAAGACATAACTATTGAAAATAAAGTCATAAAATTAATTAACTTTGGCTAAAATAACTTCAAATATGTGGACATGTTTTTGGGTTTCTTGCAAATAATTAAAAAAGAAGAAATCAGGGAATGAATTAAATGACAGGATAAAGCTATTCAAGTCTGAAAACTTTACTAAATAATAAGTATTACCAATTAGTTTGACTAATGATTGATTCACACCTACATCTGGTAAAGTGTAACTTCTAATCATAACTTATTCAGACATACTAGTAGTAACTGAAAGGAAATTTTTGGATACAATTCATTATTAGACATCCCTACCACTCTACCTAAAACCATAGCTTGTCTTGATAGCGTGCCATCTTTTGCGCTAATTAGGATCAATCCTATGATCAAATTCTTCATACTACTGATACACATTAATCAACTCTTTTCCGCTCACATAATTTTCTTCTTTTTCCTCATTTTATAAACTTTTCAAATAATACACAATTGTTTAATTCATATTCTAATATGAAAATGAAAACATCGCAACAAAACAGACTACACCTCACGCCACACTTTACTAACCCCACCTCATGATGTTTCATTACCATTCATCGATAACTAACTTACGAGTACTACTTAGTTACTCAACAGACTGAAGAAGTACAAACAGTAATGATATCTCAAATATTGTGCAAATATCCCATTTAATTTTACCAACTACTATTCTTATGCTACAACTAATGAATAACAACAAGCCAGAAAACCAAATAAAATTACCTCGATCAAGTTATTAAGCACGTCTTTTTCAAAAGTTTGTAGGAAACGTTTACAAAACCAATAATGAAACTCCTTACCATCTTTTTACAGAAAAAACCTTTTTATATAAAAGATTTTTTCTTCAAACTCTGTTCACGCCTGCAAGTGTATCACTTTGGAAATATTTACATACAGACCTGTGTATTTATTTACAACCGAGTCAAGGGGATATGACTGAATGAGTTAATAGACTATCAATATAGTAAAATAATAAAAACTAGCCTGACTTTTCAATACACCATAAATTTAGCAAATTTGGTACAAATAAGACAAAATACATGCCATAAAAAAGAAGGCACAATATCATATTCCATGTTAGTATAATATAAAAATATTTAGTGATGAAACTGAAATAATGAATACAATAAATTAATTTACATTTTTGGACTGACACAATAAGCCGCAGGAATTTGAAATCAAATCTGAAAAATTATCCGAAAATTTTATAATATTCAAAAACTTAAAAAACATCAAAATTACAAGAAATTATAACAAACAAAAGGCACTGAATGGAAAACGTACCACTTAACTAAGATTTAGGAAACTATAATATTGCTAAATTTATAAGATAAGCATATGCCACATTTGAATTCTAAACGATGAAACTAATAAAAGTTTGTCATACGTCGAAAAATTCTAAGCCGTTCACGAACTTAAGAAGTATATAAATATAAACAACTTGCCAAAATAAGTGAAAGTATCTTTGTGAATTCTTTAACAAAGGCATGAAGTTTGCGATAAAATTTCCAGATAATCGAAAGTTGAAATAAAAGCCACCTATTTAAGCACTGATAGACCTCTTTGCATAAAAAATTAATTCTTGCATGAAACTTATTGCAGTGCCTGATAATTTATCATTTAAAACTAATAACGTAATCAAATTCAACTGTGAACTGTGAGTGGAATGAACTAAATTGATTCCTAATTCCAGCCCTATTTAAACTTCATATCATGGAAAGTAAATATTAAAAGCACGCAGTTAACAAATGACGCAAGAATGACGCAAGAATAAAAATAAATTCAAAGTTATGCAATATTTTGTTACATAAGGGTGCCAAAATATGAAGAAATGCATCAAATGCAGACAATTCAAAAAACTGTAATCACAGCATTTATGAATTCTAGCTTACTGTTAATTGGCTGAGATAAAACTGACGCTTTGTTTCGATTCCTTTTTGTGGGAATGGATTTAAATCATTGAATGCAACCTTAAAAATAAAAAAGTTTTTACACGACTAACTAATGAATATTTTTTACTAAGTCTCTTTATATCTTCTTAAAATCCGACACGACAAAAAACAGTTTAATAAATTATTAAATAATGAAATTCCAGTTTCCCCAAAACAGTACTGTTATAAAACTAAAGTTCTTGAAGACAACTGTTAAAATTTTTACACATATTTTTCAAAGAAAAGAAATTCTGACCCGTGCTAGCGTCTTAAAATCTGGTACATGCTGTGCTACTTTACTAAGCGATGCGTGCACCGCTCCAACAGATTTGCATTCCAACACTGAATTTTCAGCAAGTTTTAAAACAGCCAGAGCAAAGCGGAAAAGAACCTACAACAAATTAATTATCTGAGTAGGAGATAAAATTTTCAACATTACAAGGTTGACGGTCTCTTTCCACAATTCTAATTATCAAAAAAAGACTGAAAAAAGTATAAAACTGCAATCATGTGCAAAATAAAAATTCCTGAAAAACTCGGGATATGGTATTTTTTGCATTACAAAACAATATGACTTGATGACATACAACCTTGAACTTGAAAAAAAACCTTTTACCAACCTTATTTCCTTCATAAAGAAAGACATCGAATAAGTTCAAATAAATAGTATGCGGAAACATGTCCACAAAACAAGTGAGGAACCAGCTAAGCGTAAATGCTGAGAGATCCACCTCAAACCGTCTCAAATGATACGATAATTTTGGAAGTTTTTCATTCACTAGGTCACGAAGCACCTATAGCAATGCAAAGGACTCCAAAAAAGAAATCATATTGTCACAGTATATTAGCACACTCAAATTACTTCTTGATTATTCTAGTTTAAAAAGTATTTAAAAAGCAAAAAGGTAGATCAAATGACTTTTAAATTCTAAATTTAATGACTAAAATCTAATATGGGCTCAATATCGAACTCATAATAAATTTCAAATAACTCTGAAAACAAACAAAATCCATGAAATTTCTACTTTCTGATCAGCAACAGCACAATTCAGTGAGGAAGTATAGTATGCAGTAGGTTGAAGATGCTCAATACATGCAACTAAGAACCAAAATGCATCAGATTCCTCAAGAAATAGTAAAGCGACTGCGGCAAGGCGATTTAATCCCTAGAACTATGAATCATTATCCCTAGAACTGTAAATGACTATCCCCTTTAAGTACCATTTTCACGACAACACTATTTATTTGGATTCAGAACACTATTTTTTAATTATGTTAACTCAGCCAGTTTTACTGACGTACCTAGTAACAATTTGTGTCTGGAAATCTAATTTCTTCGAAATATCGTCAAGCGATAACTTCGATTGTTTGTAAACAATTTAGTAAACACTACAGCGTTATTTTTAAGCGTAACAAATCAAAAAACTAAAAAAATACCGAAATAGAAACATCTTACTTGACAATATCCAACGGATTTGTTATGAAAACGATATGCATAAAGTACACGCCGTAGAACAACTATTTTTTGTGAACTTGGCTCATCAAAAAATTTATTGGTGGGTAATGTCCGAGTTAAATCCAAATCAATCTGTAAAAATTTCGAATACACGAACATATTTGATAGCACTGCAAACAGCTTTAAATGAGATAAAAATGAACAAATACTTTACAGAAAATATTCCCAAGCAACATATTTCATAAATACTTCTGTATCATAAACAAAATTATTACTCAACATATCAAATCGACAAATCACAAGAAATGCGAACCTGTCTAAGAGCACTATCATTTTCTATAGTGTCACTGTCAGCAGCATTTACCTTCCGAAGAAGAGTTTCGTAATAACCATTACCAAGATCTGCTTTCTGGTCATCAACAACGTACCCAATAAAACTTAATAATACCATTTTAAGAAATTTGAACATTACACGCTTAAAAAATTTGAGACAAGTATCATACATTACAAAGTTTTGAAAAAAAATTATTTGAAAGTAATCCAGTACACTATTTTTAAATTGCTACCCCTAATCAAAAAAATTCCTATTTTAAACTTCTTCAAGCGATAGAAAGGACAAGCAACTAAAATAAAGAATTGGCAAAAAGTTGTTGGGCACATCACCGAGTTTTTCAGTCAAAAAATCAAAACTGTCATCACACATTTCATCTGTTCCGTCTAAAGTGTTATTAAAAAATATATCGCAATAAAAATGACTAGTACGAACAAGACACTGTAAAAAAAATGACCTTTTCCAAACTCGTGGACGGTACGTTTTAGGAATACCCGTTCTCACTAAGTTTTTCAATTCAGAAGTAGGTTTCAATGGACGTATTGCAGAATTCACCAAAAAACTGTCCCATCTTTGTAGCCAATCAATGTATTGCGGGTTTTGTTCCTGAAATGTATGTGAAAATTATGAAAACATTAATTAAAAAATTAATTTTTAGTGCCAAGAAAAAATATTTATTTTGAAGGGTTGAAAGCAATAAGGTATTTTACCATTTCTTGCTGACCAACGATTTTATCACTTTTATTCTTCAATTGCGCAGCAACTTCAAACATATCACTAGTTTCTAAATGATGCTTTCGTTCGTCATTCAAATAAAATCCAAGAGAGTCAGTCAGTCTTGCTGCAAAAAACTGAGTTTTGTGTCTAGAAGAAATAAGGCGATAACACTGAAAGTTTTAAAATAAATGAAACGAGTTTAAATTTGGCAAAATGCAATACCAGAATAAATATTACTGGTTCAATTTCTTTTATTAAAACAGTCAAACTCCTTACTATCTACTTTATCATTATCTAATGTTCTCCTGTTTGTAGTCCAATTGGCTTCATCAATAAGAGCTTCGATCACCCCTGGCTCCAAAACTGAATCATACAAACTTGATTTTAATACAAGTGATATATTTAAACATTGAGTTTGGTTTTCCAAGCAAACGATTGTTGCGAATTTTAAAAAAATCAAACATTCTTTGTAAATCAAAACAGAAGCTCGAAAATTCATAAATAGAGTGCTCTCTAATCAACAAAGACAATAAAAAGTTTAAAGTCAAGAACTGAAACTGAATGAATTGAACCTCTACTGTTAGTTTTTGCTGCTTTGAAATGGTTGAGCACCATAATATATCTGCTTTTAAGTTGGTAATAGCATGCTTCAATGTCAAAGTTCTGCCGCGTTATTCGACGCTCCCTATCTTCTAGGCTCTGAACAATTTTTTGAAGCTCTGAAATGCGGAGTGCAGTCACTGCCAGAAATCAGTAGAGTTATTTTGAAACTGCAAGAATTGAATTTTTACCTAGAACCTCCTGATTCAAGAACATATTCTGACTTCGATACCCCAAGACAAGATCTCGCATCTCGATGATATCATTAACAGCTGCCTCATCAAACACTCTTTGTGCATTTTTATCAGCTGAACTATTGCCAACGTCAACTAATATACCTTCCGGCACTTCAACTGAAGCATTCCATTTCTTATTTTAAAATTTCGGAAATCTGAATCTATACTGCAGTTAGATATTAAACTTCTACATGCAGGAAAACTTTATGTATTTCTTTTATTCTCTCTCAGGCTATGAAATGATGTTAAGCTATGTTAACTGAGTAAAGAAGATAGATTTGGGCGTGCATCTCAGGACTCAGTAAAGATAGCAAAACACATATATGTATGGAAAGCAGAAAAAAATTGAGCTTTTAATCACTTATTTTTCTGACATTTCCTTATTCACTTATTCTGAAATATAAGTAAACCTCGTACTAATTAAAAAGACACCATTGTCAATTTCTGAATGACCAAAAATGTTTCCTTCCTGCTCGTCATACATTCTTAGAATAAGCTCTTCTTTAGAACGAACGGACTCACGAAATGCATCTATTTCAGCATTCAATTCCTCAATTTTCTGTTCATATTTCCTGAAACTTCATTAAATAAAAGATGAATTACACTTTTTCTAAATATTACTTTAATAAATTCCACTTTTAAACCTAACTGATTCTGCTCTTGTAAAAATCGAATCTCTCGACTATAAGAAGCTGCATTCAGCTGTGAAGCGGTTAATTCACTTTCTTTTTCCAAGATTAAATTAATCCTGTCCTGAGGTGTCTTCAACTCCTCCATTCGTTTTCTACAAGCATCCTGCCATCAAAAAAATGCCTTTAGTCAAAATTAAAAAATTCTTCCTGTCTAAACATAATAAAAAAAGACGAACAGAAGTTCGATTTGACGATCTGATTTGAACAAACTCTGCCGCAAAATTGTGACCAAATCTCGATTAGCTCCAATTTCATCAGTAAGCTCATAACATCGTTCTTTGAGGTCGTTCACAATTCTCAGTAACTATAATCAAATTATGTAAAAAAAATCTTAGCTTTTTGCTTTCACTAGAAATCTCTTTAATTCACTGCATGTTTCATTCATAAATGGTAATTCACTATATCCTAGTCGGATTATAATCATAAATCTATTGCCGCATGATAATCTTTTTATGCTATACAAAACTATCTGAATCATAAATACTTGATTAAATATGATATACAATTACATATAACAAGACAAGAAAACTTACAACTTTACAGTTTTCACAAGGAGATCGCAACGAAGCAGACAGACTAAAAAGTTGTGCATTGAAGAATAATGAGTAATTTGCAGAATACACTATTTCCAAATTTTTATCACTAATATTTTTCAAATTTCTTTTCTACACTTCCTTTAATTTGCAGTATATTCGGAATACAAGGCATATGGTTCTATTCTATATTAAGAAATTGAAAAATAACCATAATTATAATGTGCATTTCTATCCCTTCAAAACAGAGGTACAAAGCATACTAACCGTAATGTAGCTTTTGCTTTGCCAATTACTTTCTTAGCAGGTTGTTCGAACACTCTGGCTTTTGCCTGAGTTTCGTCTGCTATTTTTCCAATCATTTCTTCTACATTTTTTAAAACGTCTGTACAAGTGGGGAGTTGAGTCGGTGTTTCCAAACTTTTTGCGTTCAGTTCACCATACGAATCAAGATAAAATACTGACTGAGTCTGAAAATTTTAAAATTAGAAAAAACACTCTAAAACATTTTTTACCGAACATCAATAAGATCAAATGTAACCAATTTCTACAAAAATTTCTTTAACTTCACTACGCAGAAGACTTAAAAATATCAGTACAAAAATAACTGACAGTACTATCTATTTCCTCTTTCCGTGGCTTTTCATCTGGAAGACCGATTACCACTGTATCTTTCTCTTCCTCCATAATTGCCACTTCAGTATTAGAGGGGGACTCCATGTCTTCACAACGATCATTATCAGAAAAAGAATGAGAAGAGAGAGACACAATGTCCTGTAACAAATATTTGAATGAAAATATTTTGCTCATCTAATAAATGCTTGTTAATTTTTGATAATTAAAAGAACACAATGTTTTTAATCTGTGAATCTTTAGTGTTCGATCAAGGATAAATATCGAAAAAAAATGCAATTATTACAAGTCACTAATAACAAAACAAATACGAAATCTTACAACTTTTAGTATATTGTCAACACTTTCTTTTTCATAATGTCGTCGACGATTGCTTTGAAGTTGTTGCAACCACTGAACACGCGACTTGTTGCTGCCTGTTTCAAAGACATGTACTTCATCATTCACGCTGAAAAAAAGTTTCATAGCTATCAAAATTGATATAAAAATCATTACTTGAATGTATGAAACTATAAAGATAACTCAGAAATAAACATTATTATCATTGCATTTTAACCAAACCCCTCGTACAGCAGTCAATAATCCATCACTACTGACACTTTCAAACAAGCACGTAATATACGAATGAATATATCAATCCTACATAATACTTTCAAAAAGCATACTGTATCTCAAATCTGCCAGTTTCACGGGGATCAAATGTGAAAGCAGCACCCGAAAGTGGTACTCGTCCAGTGCAATTGATATCTCCCTTATTTTTGTACCAATACAAATAGGGTGAATCATCAGATAAAACAAACCAGTAACGACGCCTACATGCCCCACCAATGGTACGCTGTTCAACCTAAAATCAACCAATTCCCTCGCAGACATAAACAAACACTTATTAATATGATAATAAAATGATTTGTATTCCAATAACTAACTGCATAAATATCACCAGAAACGTTTGAAAAAAAAACGTGAAATGAATAAATGACTACCAACAAAAAAAAACTTCTTTCTGCCTGGCTTTTTAATCACACAACTCAAATGAAGACAGAGTAAGCAGAGAAATCGTTAGTTGTAATATTTGAAAAACTTAATGGCTCATGTATGGAAGAAACGACTTCAACTTGATCGCAAAGCACATTTCCGTACTAATCAAATATATTTTACAGACATAAAAACGTTGTCTTAAATGAAAAATAAAAAACCATACTACAATACCTTATTTAAGTGACCCGATAATCTTTTTGGCAGTGGATCTTCGACTGACCAGTCACTACTTACATCTAACATTGTCATACAATTTCTGAAATATCCAAATTCACATAGCTATAGACAGTAAAATAAAATCCACATCATCCGTTATTTCTTCATAAGACCGAAATCAGCCGCAATTTTAATGCAAATAATAGTTTTGCAAGAAGTTTATTGCTATTACTTTAATAAACAATCAAAAATTTCAACAATTTTTGTCAACACTCCTTGCACTATTCCAGAACTTGTTGGCCTAGACATAAATACTTAAGCTCAAACCTATGAATAGTTAGTTGTCGGTAGAATTTAACTTAGTTATCACTATGCTTCTCATTTAAAATTGTCCACGAGAAATTTTGGCCAAAGATATGCAGTTACAATTGGCTAAACCGCCAATCGTAAACTGAATTCTTCTGGAGGTCTTTTTGTACTTATTCTTCTTGTATTATTATTATTATTATTATTATTATTTGTAAGAATAATATTCTGATGAATCAAAAAAAAAAAAATTGACGTAAGAGTCCATATTTTTATGCACATCAAGTTGTTGCTCTCAATGAATTCCAATTGATGATCAATTTTATTGTCTACTTAACTGGAAATCAACTTTTAAATAGTAATTTAATGAATAGTCATTTTGGTATCGATATATATATCGAATTTACTGATTTTATAATTTAATGCCCCTATCAATTATCCAGATTCGTAATTAAAATCAAATTATATATATATATATATATATATATACAACCTAGCATAATTTTTACTGGTTTTGATGCATAACGAACGGCAAAAATCTTATAACAGAACAACCTAGCATAATTTAATTAGAAACAATCGGTTTCACGATCGTTTTTCAATGGTGTGTATTGAAGATGAAACTTTAAAACCAACATTATTTTAGGCATGAATCTTAAAATAACAGAAAAAGTGGTTCTTATATCGTAATTCCTATTTTTTTAAATTAAAATTGAAATTGCTATAAAGTTTGAAACGTGTGAAAAACTAAAGCTCAAGAGTGCGTATAAATGCAGTATCCACTTTTTTGATGCGTGAATACAGTGATGTCAATGAGAACATTTTATTCAGTAAGACTTTCAAAATATTAATATCACTCATTTAATCCGAAGGCTCAAAAAACATTAATACAGCTATGATAACAAATCCAATTAGTGTACTCAACCACTTTTCCAATTCATGAGCTCCACGAACTTGTTCAACGAAAAGTATCTAAAAATTACACTCTATGAAATATTTGAATAAAGTTTTACATGTCTAATAATATCATAAAGTTCTTTTAATGAAAGAGGTTTTGGTACTGTATTTGCAACAAACATACATAAAATGGAGATTGTCTCATTTACAATCATTAATGACTTTATAAAATTCATTTGCTCCTGCATCAAAATTTTCGCACAATGAAAATTTATGCTAATGAGTTAGTATTGTGTAGAGCGAAAAAATTGGCAGAAAAAATCTTATTAATAAATTTGATTATAATCCAATAATAGATTCTGTAGCTTGACACTTAATATGAAAAATATTGAACAAACAAACCTCAAAGAAAGTTATGTACAAAAATGTGCCATTAGCAATTGATGTAGCTATTGCTGTTACTGTATTTTGTGATTTATCACCAATGTCAGCGCTCTAAATTCTGACAGTATTTGCACTATACTCAGCAAATGAATTTATTATTTGTTTCGAAAAAAATTTAAAAAAAACTTCTTTGAGCTAAAAATCCATTGAAATTGCAAATGAAATGAAAAACAGAAAACTGCTCTGTCAGCGAAAATCAGAAGCTGTATTGATTTATCAAAATGAATTCATTAAATTATTATTTAAAAGTTGATTTCCAGCTAAGTAGACTATAAAATTGATCATCATTGAGAGCAACAACGTGATGTGCATAAAAATATGGATTCGTACGTCAATTTTTTTTTTTGATTTATCAGAATACTATTCTTACAAATAATAATAATAATAATAATAATAATAATACAAGAAGAATAAGTACAAAAAGACCTCCAGAAGAATCCCAACTAAACCGCCAATAGGTGCAGTTAATGACACTATTACCACCAAAAACAAAACAAAGTATAACTTCTTTGAATGTGTTTTGACCAAAGTCATTCCGATGCTAAATGTTACAATAGACTTGTGCACTATTATTCCAAGAAATAGTGCAGTCACGCTAAACATAGTTTGCTGAAAATATATATATCAAATTTAATTACTTTGAAAACATTGATATGATTTTCTCAGAGAAGAATTATTTCACTTAAAAAGTAAAAAGTTAAGACTAACGAAAGTATTTGTAAATTCAAAAATTACAACCAAATTTTTGCTACAATTAATATCTTGCAAATTGTTCAGATTTCATCTACTTTTTCTTTCATTTTTATCAGCTAAACAATGCTGGGAATTTTTTCATGCGAGCAAAAATGAATTCGAAATTGCTATATAAAACAAATGTCTTTTCAATGAAAATAAAAAAGATACCTGGACACCAAATGCAAAACCTTCAAGAGAAGAATGAATCGAAAAAGCCAGCACCAATGTTACTGATTTCACATAATTGTCGTTATCGGAAATATCCAAATTCAATGCAGAATCTTGCGAATTTTTGTTTTCAATTGCTGTACCATCATGAATATCGGTACTGGTTCCTTGCCTTCAGCACGAATAGAATTGGAGAATAATTCAATTAATTGTATAGATCTGATGATCATTTGGAGAATGGAAATTGAAAACCCTATTATCAAAATTCAACTAACTGTTCATATTATTTAAGAAATAATTAAATTAAGAAAGTATAGAAATGACAAAATTCGAAAGCAATTATTAACATAAATCGATTTTATTTCATTGAAAAAAAAAAGTTACTTTAAAATATATTTATCAATAGGAAAAGTAAATGCAAGAAGCATCTACACATAAAGTTGAATTTCATAGAAGCTAACTCAAACACAATGCTTCCATCATTAGAATGTTTGCATTCAACGTCATCAACTTCATAATTTACATGACTGTGTTTGCAAAACTGAGCCGACAATACTTCCAGTAGATAAACTAGGAAAAATCCAGATCCTATAAGAAGTTCTGTATATGGATAAGTTGCTTTCCATTCTAGCTGTTGCTTAACTTGCTCGAAAGCTTCACTGAAATAGTTGTTAATTCCTGAATATTTTTTTGAATTTTCTTGAAATTTTCAGTTTGTTCACATTTCATTAATGATTTTCAACAATAACCATAAATTTCAAAATTTGTTCTAAATCCGACATTAATTCAAGTCGATTCAATTATTGAAGAATTCCAATATTTTCATTGTTTAGTTCGAATATGATTAGTAAAAAATTTGAAACATATTACTTGTAAAGAAAATTTTTTCAAATAAACGATTACTTTGCATGATTGAATTCGAAAAAAAAATACGAAAGTAAAATTAATCAGTTTGCTAAAAAAAACAAGAGTGGAAAAATAGACTGGAAACTTACTTTGCAACAGGTAGTAAGTCTAATAAACAAACACCCAGAAATACACCACCAGACAGACAAGACAGCATTGTTAATAAACGATTTATTATCAATTCATCCGAAGATTTAGTTTTCTGTTTTGTTTCAACATATTTATAAATCTACAAATAATGTGAAAATATTTCGTAGAACGTCTTTTTATCATAGTTCAGTTCAACAAACTTTTTTAAAATATGGCACTTCTAAAATAAAATACTACTTTGCTGGCTTTTATGTAAAGTTTACTTACTATAAAACGTTAATGCTATGCAATCTAGAAATGAAAAACATTTGAAATTTGATTTATTACATCATCGAATTTGATTTATTCAACATCATAAAAGTATTTTATTTTTGTTTACTTCAAAAAATGAAATCTTTATTCTTGGTCAGTAAAATGCAAACCTTTAAAGGTAAAAAACCAAATACTAAAGCAGCAATATTCATGACTGCCAACATCACAATTTTTGTTACCAAAATCGACATTGTATAAATTCTAAAGTAAAACCTACCAATTAGTCATTTTTATCACTTTAAATTTTACACATTTTTCATATTACAATGGCCTTATCCATATTTGCATCACTGACTTAAAGAGTCATTTAATACATCAAAGTTTTGCATTTTCCACTGAAGTACTTCTTGAAGTTTTTAAACGTATAAATTGTTTTACATAATCTTGAACATTTTTTAATCCAAATAAATTTAATTCAGTTGCAAATGTTGAAATGCAATTATTTCCAAATAATAATTTCAATATTTTTCAAAATTTCATATAGTTTTGATATTTTTTAAAAAGTGAATGTAACACAGTGAAAATTTTTGGCTAAAACAACAAAACTGATGCAAGCAGTCAGTAGGCAAAGAATCAAAAATAGCAATTATGAAGCATTAAAAAAATTATAGAACAAATTTTAATACAACTAATTGTACAAAAACTGTTGATGATTCAGTTTATTCGATCACTTAAATACACCATAGTCTTTTCAGGATAAAAAAGTGTTAGCAATAAAAAAGATTTCACTTTTCAAATTTGAAATTGCATATTCATTTTACAATATTTCTAAACCAATAAAAATGTGATTCACAGAAAAAACAAACACATTGTAACATGTAAATTATGCTGCACTTTCTTTGTTGCAAAATTTTAACAAACACAATTTTTTAGACTGTCTGGAATAAATTTGCACACATTTACTTGGGTAACATATTGAGAGATGCCTTCAATTTACACCATTATTTATTATTTTTTTATTCTTCCCATATTTCTTATTTAGACTAATAATGACAATAAATGATTTTAGAAAAAGAAAGTGAGTTTAGTATTAAATAAAAATTGGCTAATATTTAACGAAAATGTAGAACAGATAAAGCGTAAACTTTTTCAAATAAACAAATGACAGGTAGAAACAACTTTAAATTTAAATTTTAGAAACAAACCGACTTCAAACTATTTTCTGTTACACAGGTAATCAAAACCTTACGCACAAAAGCTTTTTTCTAATATTTACTATAAAGAGTTTACGTTTTTGTAATAAATACTAGAAACAAGAATAATTAGTTTTTGATGAGAATCAAATTAAAATTATCAGCTAAATGTTATGTTATTGTTTTTTCTTTGGTATATACTTGAAATATCGTAAATTTAAGTCATTTAATTTAGAAATAGCAGCATTTTTAACTTAATAAATAGTCTATGGTAAAGCTCTCTTAAAACTTCAATTATACAATGAATGAAAGAGAATTTTAGGAATAAAAATTCAGGTCCCTAGCACAATACTGAAATGCGATTTTTTACAAAACTGATAATACATCGATAAATTTCCATTACAAATGATAGTGAGAAAACAAAAACTGGAACGATGATTAAATATTTTCCATTAAAATAGAAATAAATTATGAAAAATAATAACCTCTTACTGAAATTATGCTCAGAATGAACTACCAAGAAGTTTTAGACTGTTTATAGCTAAAGTTAATTTACTCTGTACAAATGCAATATGATAGTTGAAGTGAAATTTATCCAACTGCAATGATAAAAATAATAATTTTTATTTCACACCACTCCTTCATTCATCACATAATAATCTTATGACAATTTCAATTAAATTGTTTCATAGAAATTTTTGTCGTAAAAACTTCTGCAAAATCATTTCCATTCACTCAATCTAATTAAAGAAGAAACTTTAGAATAACTATCAAGTTATTTATGAATAGTTTATACTAAATTATGACACTTTTGACTTTCAATAGATTGTTTTGATAAAAAAGTCAGTACGTGAAAGAATTCTGTATCAAAAAGCAAACGTAGTATTTTGACAACGAAATTATACATAATTAATTGCTCGGCTCTGCCGAGTTCTCGAGCGGTTAAGCTGCCAGCTATTCAATGACATCACAGACCAGGAAATGGAGGATAAACGGAAAAAAACCAGGCCTGGAATCATAAATGGAAGCAAATCGGAAACATGTGGAGTTGTTGAAGAAAGCTCCGTGAAGGACATGTGAAAGCACTCGACCACTGCAACGGAACCAGTAGAACTGAGTACCCAAACACGATCCAACGCGAGAATCAGAAGACAGAAAAGAAGATTAACCTTCGATCTGTTGCGCATGGCACATATTATCTTACTCACGTTACGTGCCAATTATATGTATAAAAAATTTTTCAAATACTAGTGCTACATGAAACTTATCAATTAAACTTCGAAACAAATGCTCTACAATGCTTGAGAATAAAAATGGTAAGTAACAGCTTAAGAACGGATTAAATACTGATTGCGAATACAGCTTAAATAAAGCCAAATTAGGAAGATTTAATCAAGTGCTATGCTTGAAATGCGTATCACTCTAAAATTTTTTATCAGTTTTTTCTTTTTTTTGCAAAAAAATTGTATAGAAGGAAATATGTAAAGGATAATATTACATTCTGGCAAAAATGCCGAAAAATAAATTTTTTCTTACGAAAATGATAAACTCAAATTGCAAAAGATTTTACGTGTGAATCGAAAGTATAAAAATGCTGCACCAATAAATAATGCCACCTATGATCGGTGCAGCAAATAAGCAAGCAAAGTATGTTGCAGATGAAACGGAAAAGCGTGAGAATCATCATTAACTTCAATTTATTAGCAAATTAATGTTGCCAAAAATGTTAATTTCATTATAAAGTCTAAAAGAATAGAAAAGACAAACTCAATTGTGGAGACAAAATAAGTATACCTTCTTAAGGAAAAGTGCTATAATTTTATTTAAATAAACTGAGCTTTCTTTCAGTCCTTATAAACAGAATACAACTTTCTAACAATTACGATGGAGTCGAATGATTATTTCAGTACAGTATCAAGTAAGATTTTGTAAATATAGGGTAAAAAGTTACCAATATTATCGGGGTATTAACAAATGAAACCACTGTCTCACGCTGCATTGGTTATTGAATGAAGAGTGGGCATTTGAAATTCAGAAAAACATAAAGCAAAACTTTAATGATAGACAGTGAAATTAATGTCACAATCATTAATAACTAAAGTTATTAGACACAAATGGTAGGTAACACTGAGTATAAATTAAACTTGCCCAGCAGTAATCGGAAATGAACACTTAAATGGCTAAATTTTTTGAATATGGGTGCAACTTTTGGAACCATTAGTAAACAGGCTATTCCGAAAACAAAAATATTCATTACCATTAAATTATGGTATTTAGCAAACACTTTTACATACATAATAAGTAATGCAAAAAACAAAAATTACTGTTTCCTTTAAAAATTACTGTTTCCTTTTACATACATAATAAGTCAAGAACATGTAAAACACTCTATCTTGACATGTTTGATTAATTTCTGACAAATTATGACCTTGTGTTCATATTTTTACAAGATAGTGTTGTACTTTTATAAAATTTCCCTATTTTTTTTGTCTTAATTTTAAAACTTAATTTTGCTACTGAAATTACACAAAAACTTCATTCACTTACAGCTAAGTTAGTTTGAATTGGCAGATAAGTTGTGCCTGAAATAATTGAAATGATTTTTTGCTGTTCACTTTTACGGTTAGCTAGAGCTAAATCTTGATAAGTAGTAAATTCTAAATTTCTGTACATATAAATAGTACGATAATATAAGAGTGCTACTTAACCAATACTTAGCAATGCAAGCTATTACAAAATTTCTATGTAAATTGAAAATAAGAAAAAATTGACTTATACTTACAACAGATGATAACAAGCACAGCACTTATCAACTGAATAAAATCTGTTAAGATTGACAATGCAAAGAGATGAATTCATTACAATTATTATTGAAATGATAAGATGCAGAACACCAAAAAAAAAAATTCCAACTAAGCCTATGCAAAATTTATTCGTTCTTATTGCTGTGATAATACTGATAATAGGAAACGCAGTTCTGGAAAACTATCAGTGTAAACATACACTTCCGTCTAGGGCCTTTTCATTTTATTTTTATATCACTCCATTTCTGATACTTGAAATTTCTTTGTGACACATGCTAAATGATGCTAAATAGTGCGTGTTTAAATTCTGAGATCTTTCTTGAACTAGAAAATTTTCAATATTTTACATGGCTTTTCCAAAACTAATATTGCCGAATAGAAATCTGAGACGAAATTAGTATTTGGGAGCAGTGAAAAGCTGTCAAAATACAGTTGTGAGCACTACTAATAAAGTTGAAGATTTCTGTTTTCTTCTCTAGAAAGAAGATAAATTGCAGAGATGAGTATCGATATCCACTTGTAATACCAATAATAGTTATTCACTCATCTCACTGTTATGAATGAGTAATGAAACAGTAAGAAATTGATCTGTTTTCAAAGATTTATTGCTTGTATATTTTTCATCTGATGAAGCTAATGATATACAGATAAGCTTTCATAGACACAACATTACCATTCTATCAATTTGACTATTAGTCTAGAAATAATTACCCAATAATTAACTTGCTAAATTCTTACAAATAAATATATTTGAGTAATAACTGCCTCAGTTGTCTATTGCTCTCCAATATTTACGTCTAAACTAAAGAGACTGATGAATGCTACCACTCCAAAAACAGTCTAACTACGATAATTATCCAAGACTGTTTTTGTCTAACTACGATATCTCATAAATGCAAAGGGCAACAAAATGGTATTTCAAATTCAAAGCTAAAAAAGATTTATTACCGTGAACATATACATAGTATTGTTGTTTGAATTACTAATTAGATCTTATCAGACTCAGTCATACCAACCATTCATACATATTTATCTTACCTCGCAATAACTGTAACGTCTATGAATTCACATTTCTTTTAATCTTCCAAAGATCATTGCAGATATAAATGCAAGAACTTATAAGCATTGACAATATTCTAAGTTGACAGTTTGGACTGCTTTCACTTCCAACATAACATAATAATGAAACAGACAGTTACTGATTAGTTTAAGGTTACCAAGCTGATTTTAACTACATACTTTTTACTTACTTTTTACACTTATTTCATGATTGCATTATACTGTCATTTGTCTCATATATGCACTAACTACAAAATTTACAGATACTGTACACGTTTGTATTGATAACATTATACAACTCGACTATTAATTATGTACAAAAATAACTTTGCAACAAAAAAAGAACAGGACAAGACCGAAATCAAAATTATTGCATTTTATTTACTGACTTGACATGAAGAAAGCTTCTATAGATAAATTGTTGACTGTTTAAAGTGGACAATAATATCTCACAATAATAGTAATCCTCTTCAAGCATCCTGACAGTTGCTTTATTTTGCTCATTACAATTGCATAACTTCACTGACTACTAAATGCAACCATAAATATGGATAGCATATGACAAAACTGACTTAATTTTAGTCAGCTGACTAAAATTTAGTCAGTTTTGTTCACTTCTCAGTTCAGTCCAATCAAACGGAAGCAGTCCTAAAATTCTGATCCAATTACAAGCGTTTGAACCGCTTTGAGAGCAGAATTACCGCGGATGCTGGTACCACACTGACGCTCCCATAAATCTTCGTTAACAGATTAAAATTTTACGCATTCATGCTGTAGCACTACTATTCATTTCATTCGTGTATTAGGAACATTTCACAAAATCAATAATTAATTTTTAATATTCGAATAATTTTTGCATCGTAGCAAACATTGCATTCAGCTTGAGATATTCTTCAATCATGAACCCAGCATTACAATGTTGTCAGACTGTTGAAACCGAATCGATCTAATATTTTCGACATGATTAGAAATCATATGACGTTCGATCACTAATTGTAAAATAAAGGTAGGATCTAATGAAGGTAGGTAGGATCTTAACATTAAAAATATACATCCTGTTTTGTCGCTCAAAAGTAGGGTAATAATTCATACTTTTCTAAGAACAGTACTTACATGTTATTGCTTGCTTTTACTGTGTTAAGCTCTACTTTATTTGCAGTTTGTAAGCTAATGATTCCTGACTTATAAGATTAACCAACACAACATTTCCCATCCTCCTTTCAACTTTTCTTTGCTAATCTAACGTTTTATAGTCCCAAATCACATTACGCATTTTATAACCGCGGAGCGTAACTAGTTTGCGCTTCATCCTGCTTGAAATCTCATTTACATCATGGATAAAAATAGTGAATTTTAAACTGACGGTCATTTAATAACTGATATCTAATTGTTTTTCTCTCATCAACGATGTACGATTTCTAATTGGAATATGCTTAAAATTCCTTAGATTTAACGCTTTTAGCATTTTTGACTAAGAATATCAACTTCCTAATCATCACACTCATCAATTTCCTTTTCTCATCAATTTCCTTTTCTTCTATGCTCATCAATTTCCTAATTAACACTCATCAATTTCCTTTTCTTCTATGCTTCCATCATGGCTAAGATGCAGACTTCCCGGGTTACTTATGCTATGTCACGTTTGATATAGTCACTTTTTTCTTGCGTTTTAAATGGATTGGTTTGAGTAATCTCATTTTAATCCATTAATTAAAGGCTGAGGAAGCGATATTGGTGTTTCTTACAGCAAATCGTTTGATAATACCGAAAAAGTCGTTGAATGTTTTGCCAGCAATCATTAAATGATGTGAGTCGTAATGACAAGTCAATAACTGTATTATGGATTACGTGAAAAATTACTTATATAATGAAAGAATAATTTATGTATATAATGTCAGTAGATTTAACTGAAATGCAGTGATGAAGGGAAGAAGAGATGTATTCATTCCCTGCCGATTGTTGTTGATCATCAGCAGATTCTTCGACATTTTAGCTTCCATTTCATTTATGAAAGCAAAAATTTCCTCTGGCATTGCTCTAGCACGTCACTTTGATATGACTGCTTTACCTGCTATAAAATCAAAATGATTTATGCTTTTTCATATCATGGTTGAAGCTGAAGAGTGAAATTCTATCTCTGCGCCAAAAGAGTCATATTCGGCAAAATGCCTATATGGTTTGTGAGACCCATTTTATTAGCCGTAAGTAAAGAAATGGATGTATAAGCAGCGTTATGTTGTTGTTGAGTTGATAAATGGAAATATTGAGTCATATGAACAAATTTCGATTATAATGATGATAAATGAAAAATATGATTTGTGAGAGCTTGTTTACGATATTATCCTATAATTGGCTTATGAAATAAGTGATAATCAACAATAAGACGTTGTAGATTTGATAAGTATGGAAGTAAGCATATACATACACTAAATACCGGAAAATCCCAAGTGATACTCTAAGGTTACATCGATGTTAATGATACAGTCAATTTAATCTCATGACTAAAGATTTCATTAACTGTTAAGCTTCCACAACTTTGCAGAGAAATAGGCTTTACAATTTTTATGTTTAATGACAGATCTTTTCGTCGTAATTCCTACGATCAGTAACACTCTTCGTCATTTTTATCATAAATGATGCCATTTGCTGTAATGATTTCTGCCTTGAATGCTTTCTCTGTACCTTGCTATCGTTTTTCTTTCCTTTTTGTTTTAAATGCGTTTGATGACACTGATAAATTACTTGGATCAATTCTGTCCATTGCAATGATTAACCGAAATTATTATAAATTTTATTATTCAAAAGAAAGCAGAGTATACAATTAAAAGCTTGACAGTTAATGAAAGAATTTTTCAAACAAACCAAAATTAAGCAATCGTTGCGGACTACTGTTTATTTCGTCTTCACACATAACATAGCAGAAGTCATCGCTAGCAATTTATTACTCAGTATTCTAAATCTATTCCAAACTCTCTCTGATCTCTCAACATATTAAACCATTTCTTATGGCATTACATCACGCATTGAAAATCCCAAATAATTTATTGCTATTTAAAGAGGGTAGGCTGAGCTGTAATTTATAGCAGGCAGCTCTTGCTTACACATGCAGAGAGAGGAACAACGAATACTGCTATACGGCGCCATCAAGAATACTGTCTAGTGTTGGGCTTGAGAGATCTAAATCCGAATGTTACAGTATCTTTCTCTCCATATCATATTTGAGTTTAGATTTGGACATATGCACAATAAATAAATCATTTTGCGGCTTTCCATAATGTAATTATTGAAAAGTACGAGACATTTTCCCCTTTTTAAATTAATTTCATGCCTTTGCAAATATAAAGTCTCATAAACTGATTGCATACATGGGTATTCTACTTCTGTTCTGCAAATTTCATCTTATTATGAAGTCATTTTTAGATTTGCAAGCAATCCACAAAGCCTTTAGTTTGATAACATATCACTTTCATAGTTGATGATCATGATTTTTCCACTCCGCTTGTATGCAGGCAATTAGTCATATTAAGTAATAGCATCAAATCTTAATCTACAAAAGGATCATCACGAAAATAAAGGAAGGTTAATTTACATCTGCGATAAATACATAAATAAAAAATAGAGCGAAACTTTCACTTGAAACAGTTCGAGCAAGTTAATAAGTCAATCATGAGTCATACTGTTTAATGAAATCCATGAGTTCTACCACATCATCTGTTGAACCAAGGAATAATGGACTCCTATCATGTATAGCTGTCGGTAGAATATCTAAAATATGTTCAGCTCCATTTGTTGCGAGTCCTCCAGCTTGTTCTATGATATATGACATCGGTATCACTTCATATAAGAGTCGGAGCTAGAACAATATATTTTAGCACATTTCTAAGCACTCTCAAATTATTAGTTACTTCGCTGAAATAAAAACTTCCAGTGAGTTTTAGTTAAAGAAATAATATATTCGATAATTGATAGGTCTATAAATTAAATAAAATTTACGTATATCAAAAATTTACTTCTATATGCAATCAAAAAAAATTGAAATTATCTCCACATTAAGTACCTTTCCTTTTGGTTTGTCTTTTGATCCAGGATACATGAAAATACCTCCATAAAGCAGAGTACGATGAATATCAGAGACCATGGACCCAACATAACGTGCAACCATGGGTTCCCTACCTTTTTCTGGATACTTTCGGGTACGCACATATTCCTGAATGCCTTTAGACCAGTTTGCTTCATTTCCTTCATTGATGCTATAGATTTTTCCTTTTTTCGGTATCCGGATATTCTGGTGAGTTAGCATGAATTCACCAACACTCTGAAATGATTGCAACATGAGGATGAAAAACTGTGCTATTTAATATTTTAATACTTAATTTTCTGAATACTCATATATATCAAAATTCGAATCAAAACCTTAGAACTGGGAGATATTTCTTTGGGTATCTGAAAAGAATAACTTAAAACTCACAGGATCAAGTGTAAATCCGTTAACGCCACGTCCTGTTGACATTACAAGCATTGTCGCAGAACCATACAAAGCATAACCAGCTGCTACTAATTGCCGTCCACTCTGTAGCAAATCAGCCATTGATATAGAATCATCTGACTGTTTTTTATAGATCCCAAAAATAGTCCCAATTGATACCAAGCAATCGATGTTTGATGAACCATCGAGTGGATCGAATGTGACGATATATTTACCTTGCTTGGAAGGAGCTACTTCGATTACCTACGAAATCAAATATTATTATTCACATACTTAAAAATCTAATTACTTATGTCATTTAGAATGAATCAGCAAAAACCTGTTCATTCTCTTCAGAAATTAATGCGCATGTAGCATAAGATGACTGAAGCATATTGATCATAAACTCATTGCTTATAACGTCCAGTTTTTTCACATCTTCGCCTTGAATGTTTTGTTCACCTGCTAAGCCCGTTATTTTGGCAATACCAGCTTTTCGGACAGCACTTGAAATTGCCTAAATAAATTTTTTTTAAATCTTCACACAATTATGAATATTTTGCGAAAATAATCATTATTCTTGTAAAATTTTTGCTACTTTTAAACAAAAAATTTTTTCATATACTCAATTTTGTCATTAAACTACATATACAAATTATTACTTCGAAATAAAGATATGCTCCTCATCCATTTCTTTTAAATTTTCATTTTTTACTCTACGATAACACGTTTATGTAAAATAAATTCACCTTAATTGCAGTAAGCAACGATGTTAAAAGATTGGTGAAGTCACCAGACGCAGTAGGATGTCTCCGTTGATCACGAAGAACAAAACGCTGCAACGTCATAGAATCTGTCTCCAATCCATATTCAATACCTCAAATTCAGCAAAAAATTAAACCTCTTCAAGGAAATCAGTCAAATATTGAAGCATATTCTCCCATCTTTTGTTAATGAAAATAGATGTAAAATGAAAATAATAAATATTTATCACGATGAAATGGACTTGACGCCAATAACTTTCTATTTAAAATTATACAATAAAGATCTTTCTAAAATTCTATGCTGGTATTTGCATACCTTTGCTTGCTCGCTCTATCGGTTCGCTATCTCGAACTTTTGATTTTTCACCTACTTCTGACATTATAGTCTGAAAAACACTTATTGGAAATATGAGCAATTTAACATAAACATGTCTTACGAAAATTTTAGGACAAAGTTTTTCTAGTTCTCTTCAAGGTTACGAATAGTAAAAAATGGAATGAAACAGTTGCTCTTACATTCCTTATATAATTACTGCATGATTTCAAACTTAAATTTTTATTCTATTTATAACTGAACCACATTTTTCGCTATAATGAACCATGACCTTTTGTAAAAATTTTAACCTTTTAACTTAAGTTTTTTAAAAGAAAGAAAAGAAAAAAAAGTGAAAGGATAAATATAACAAAATTTAGTTAAACATAATATCAAATACGCTTCCATATGTACCACTTATGTTCGCAGTAAAGATAACTTACACGCAGAACAATGTTATTTTGGCTAACCTTACACAGTTAGTGCCATTTTATTTACAATGCATGACCTCTTTCTCTGCTAGCATTACAAAAGCACAATATCATATTGATTTCAACTTTAGTTTTCTTCTCTGTATGTCATCAATATTTATTGGCGCTGTGAAAACAAAATGTTAAGATAGTAATTGATTAGGAAAAAATAAAGTTTGTAAAACAATATCGGATTTAATGCAAAAGTATAGAACACGATACTTTATGTAGTAATTAATCTTTGTAGTGAATTTCATTTAATACATATTAATTTCGTGTTATGAAAGGATAACTTAGTTTGAAAAGCTAACAGAAGCAGGTAATTATCGACTTTTTCGATAATTTGGAGTTAATTAGATTAGGTACTAAAACTAAAACATGTTTGTCTTTCATTCGACTAGTAAATGAGACAGAATTCAAAAATGTAATGACCGGAATCGGAATTATATATATATTTATAATGAGAAAACAGTGGAGAGGATACTATTTCAATTTGCTCTTTCACAAAAATCGAATGCAAATGTTTTCGAATATTTTCAAACTAGCAGACTGATCCGTTTAATTTGAAGCATGTGGCAAAATTTCACTGGCATTGAATTTTTTCTCTAACTTTTGAACATACAAATTTGCTCTTAAACGAGTTATTTCCAAAATCTAAAGTTCCTTTTTTTTCAAATATTGAATGCTTAAAAATAGTTTAGTAAAGTTTACTGAATAAGTACAATTGGTCACTTGCATAAAAGCGAACAAGTATAGGTTCATAAGAATGAAAAAAAAGAAACAAACGAGACGCAAATGATAACTGAATTAATAGATATTGAAAGTGAAAGTAATGTTTCAAGACTAAAATTGGAAGTTCATACGATGAATCATTTGGACATTCTCACAAAGAAATTAAACGTTTCAATAGAAATTTTCCGTTGAAAAAAAGTACTTTTTTCAAGTAATCATTGATGCATTAAAATAGTGGGGGCAAATACGTTGGTAAAAGCTAGGTGTTTAAACCACAGGAAAAGTAGAAGTAACTTGGGTTCATTACAAGTCATTATTTATAATTTATTCTCAATCCTCACTATGAATAACAGTATTTAGAGCTCGAGTAACCAGTGAAATTAAAAATAAACCACAAACAAAATAATTTAAATTGGCGATTAAGAAAGAGCTAACACGAACTTTTGCAAGCTTTTGTGAGAGAGAAAACTAGCGTTCTTAGTGTAACAAAAATTATCGATCTAGATCAAGAATGAATCATTCGTTGCTCAATGATGAATAATTTCCTAACTTTATTTTACCAGAGTTTGTGATTACTTGTAAAGTCGAATTTTAATACCAATGTTATTTGCTAGCATTTCCATTGTTTTCAGCATGAAGTTTTTGGGTTTTTTGACAGTATTCCTATCTTTTTCATCCGATAAACAGTGATAATCTTTTGTACAAAATTATATGCAAATTCGTAACACTTATTAATTTGGTAATAATGAATTTTATTCTGCGAACAGGACTAATTAGGATTTCTTGCTTCGCAAGTGTTTAGCATTATCGTACTTCATTACAAATTTCTGCAAATTACAACTGCCAAAATAAGAATGAAAGTAACTGCGCCGTTTAATGGCATTTCAACTGCAATTAGAAAATCAGTAATAAATAACTGCACAAATTTTCTACGAAAATTTTTATACCTGAGAATATGTGCAATAATTAACTTCATCAGAATCGAGGAAAATTAAACAAACCATCATTTTATTTGTGCTAATACAATACATTAAAAAATAGCCGAAAAAAATTTTTTCGAAATCTGGACTAACCTCAAACGGTTTATTAAGTTATAATCATCAAGTTTTTAGTTATAAGAGAAAGAACAATTTTTAAAACAAAGTTAGTATATTTTACAAATATTTTATTCACTAACTGTCTGATTGATCAATTCAATTTTCATTTTTTTTTACTACGGTATTGGTAATTCATTCTATTAATTTTTTATATCCGATTGATTTGTTTAATTTTTTTCTCAAATTAACTGCGTTAAAACGTTTCAAATTCCTAAAATTGAAAAAAATGCACATACAAAAGAAAGTATTACATCTAAATAAGTGTGTTACGAATTCATCAAATAATCAATCCTTTATCAATTTTTAAATACTAATTTCTTGATTTTAATAAGCTGAACATTGAAAATTAGTGCGAAATATTTTTTATGTCGTCAATTTTTTACACTACAATTAAAAATGCACCTATACTTACTATTTTTTCTTCTGTTAATAGAAATAAGCAGCAATTTTCGAAATATTTTCTGGTACTTTTATAAATAATTTGATACAACCAGTGTGCAGATCTGATTTATTTTCAAAATAGAAAATGGTTGTTTGAAGTCTTTCAAAGCAATGAAAATAATTTTTGACAGTTGCAAAATATCTCATAATTATTTTTAAACAGTAAACAAGAAAAACATTATATTTTAACGAAAAGTTGATGTTTTTCAGCACAAGAAATTATTAAATGTTTTTGCAACAATTTAAGTCTGTTACTGAAATGTGGCTCGAAAGTTTCTTTATGAGTTTAAAATTTTGTATTCTTAGTTCAGTTTGCTAGTAAATTAACATACAAGGTTTGAATAAGCTTTTTTGTCAATCGGTTATCTGGAAAAACAGAATAGACAAAATATTTAGAACCTTTGAAAATGAATCTTAAATATTCAGTTACAATGACTTTAATACTGTTCAATGTATATATGAGGAAAAGTGAGATTTGAATTAAAATCAATGTTCTTGATTGCAGTTTTTTGTCTGAAATGTATTTAGATACGATGAAATTCGAGAAACAAATTCAGAAAACATTCATTTTTATTAAAATCCTTACTGCAGCAAACATTTTTTTCAAGCACGAACTGTATAGTAATGTTAAAATTGTTAGTGATTTATCAGCTATTATTTCAAAAACTTTAGATAAGAAATTACATGCAATTATTTTTTTCAACAGCAAACATTGCGATGCAATTCAGCCGTGAAAAATTATAATAAACAGAGAACGTACATAATTTTCGAGAATGAAGCAGACAAAAATTACATTTTCAAGTAAAACATTCTGTAGCAGCGCAAATAATTATAAAAATATTAATAATTTGTGATGAAAAAAATTTAACACTGAGCAAATCTATTGGAGGAATAATTATAAAGTGTGAAATTTTCATTGATATGCAATGAATAAGTGTAAAGAGCAAATTGTTCAGCTTTTCTCTTTTCAAAAAGATATTCAAAAATTTTACATTACTCCTGAATGCATTTCAAATTACGCATATATGGGATTATTTCGCTGCTTAATAACTTAATTAATGGGACACTTCTTGTTTCCATAAATTGATTGTATTCATTTAACTTTGAAATGTTGCTGATCTGTCAACAGCTTTTTTTTTAAATTGCTTTTTCAATTAACATCAAGTTACTGATCATAAAATGTAAGACAAAGCATCGATAAGTTAGTTTTTCGTAATGACGACCTTACAACCTTCATACATTAATGTAACAATAAGATTCAATGATGTTACCATTAAATTTGTATTTGCAACAAATTTCAGATTTTTGAATGCAAACCTTTTCACTTCACCTGCCTAAAATATTCGAAACAGGTAGAAAATGAGTTCAGTTTTTCTTTTGGTTTTGAGTGTAATAAATGCAGTGAGATACACGGAACGAAGAGCAATGGAAGAAATTAATTTTGAAAAATATACGAGAAAGTACTTTGCACCTGTAATGATTAAATGAAAATCTACTAAATTTTGTTTTGTTTTGATTACTTTGAATCTGTAGAAATTTCTGTTTCTTCGCATAAGACAATGACCCTATTATTATTTTAGTTTACTTGGTGACTTCAAAGTGATATGTATTTTATCTGCATATAAATATTTTTTTCAAAAGTATATGTATGTATATAATACCAAGTATGCGGAGATTTAAATACTCATGTTTGAGATAATAGTGAAAAGCAAACTCTGCCTGATCATCTGATCTTGGAAGAAATAGAATTTTTCTCCGCTATGGCTGGTCTCTTTGTTTCAACTTAACCTGTTATGTACACATGACATCATGCTACTAAGGGAGTAAATGGCGGAAATACTAGCGTAATCTGTTGCAACAACAAACGTAATGGTATTGACAGTCAGAGATGCTAGAACGGTGGAAACGGTAGTAATACGACAGAACATTCCAGCAATCAATCAAATCTGTTATCTAATGGCTGGTTTCTGAAGAATCTTCCACATCACAGGTGACTTCGTAAGAGCAAAAAAAAGTATTGAACCATACTGTTTATGCTCGTATAACCCCTTGTTC